TCTAATCTTAGATTTTTGTGACTATGTATTTATGGTAATAGATTATTTTATCAAAATAATATATTTTGTATCTTGTACAAAATCTATCATAAATAAAGAAATATCTAAGTTATTTCTTGATAATATTTATAACAATTACGAATTATCAAGGAATATTATATTTAATAGAAAAATTCAATTTGTATCATGATTTTAGAAAATTCTTTTTAAGATTTTAAACATGGACATAAAACTATATTCAGGTTCTATCCTCAATTTGATGAATAAATGAAGGAAATAAATTAAGTTTTAGAGTAGAATTTAAGATGTCCCATCAATTATCAATAAAGTGATTGGAAAATTATTTTGTCATTGAAAAAATTTGCTTATAATAATATGATACATTCTTCTACTCAACAAATATCTTTTTTTTATTAATTATGATTATTATCTACAAATTTATGTTTTGATTTTTTTTAAATTGATAATTTTGTAACAAAAGATTTGGCAAATTTATTTATCCAAGCTACATACAACAATAAAGACACAACTAAAAAAAATTAAGAATAATAATAGATCAACATGGATGCTTATCATAAGAAACAACCTCAATTCTACATTGGCGATAAGGTGTGGTTATTTTGTTATAATATCAAGGCTATTTGTCCTTATAACAAGTTAGATTATTATAGACTTTGAAAAAAATTTATATGTGAATAAGTCAATCGTGTTGCTTATTGATTACATCTATTTGAATCAATGAAGATCCATCTTTTATTTTATGTATCTCTTTTTGAGCCATGTAAGATAATAGATATACCAAAAAAATAATAAATATCATATCTTTCTATAGAATTAGATAATAATCAAGAGTATAAAGTCAAAGAAATCTTAGACTAAAGGCAACACCAAAATAGGTTAGAATAAATTGTTCATTAGCATAGATATAATATTAATAAATATTCATGAAAGCTAAATCCTAAATCCTAAACTTTAGCAAAGAATCTTACAAATACAGAAAAGATTAATATTTTTCATTGACAACATCTATCAAAAATAAGATGAAGAATAGCAAAACTTTGCTATAAAAGAAACAAGGTCCAAAAAAAATTGCATTATACTTTCTATCTTTATTCATAGTTTCTAAATATTTGTGGCACTAAAAAGATGGAAAATCAACAAGCAATAGATTTAACCTAAGATTTATTATTTGTTGACTTATAAAATATGATATTGTAATTATTACAACTTTCAATACAATGTAATAGAGATGAAGAACCTAAAAAATGATATATTCTTCTTTTGATAGATAACAAAATACAATGCATTTAATATCATGATCTTAGAAGAGACTTTCAATATTTGGTAATTTTATTAGAGATAGAAACAACTCCTGATGATATTACAAATATTAGATTTAAAGAGAGTTATGAAAGCTTCAACAATAATTAAATATTAGAGTGGTCTTCTTATCTTAGAATGAAACATTATTGATAGTTGAAAGGACCTATTAATTACTTTCAAAAGAAACAAAGATCAAAATATGTAACAAATATAATTTGTTATATCATAGACTTCATCGATATGTGATCACTACTCTTTGTGCTACAAACTATGTATGTAGTGTATATATATAAAATTTGCCTTGGAAATTAAGACATGTATTGAAAGCCCTGTAGAACATTGCCACATAGCTCCTAGTTACATAGTATGTACGGAGATAAGATAGAAGCTCTTTTTATTTTTGTCAATACCTTTTTAGTCCTCAGTCTTGTTTGAAGACTCTTTAGTCTTCTTATCTTTGGTAATAGCCATTTTAATTTCAATATTATATTATTTTTGAATGAATATCTATTATTTTCAAGTAATACAAGAGTATATTGAATTTTTTTATTATTTAAATTTTATGTCTTTAATATATTATATTTAATATATTATTTTAATAAAATAATTTATTATTATAAATACCAAATTATATGAACTTGAAATTAGAAATTTAGTGATAAGATCCATAGAAATATATGACCATAGTTGTTTTACTATAGATAATGATTGAAAATGTCTATAAGACCAATGACAAGGAGTTTTTAATCTTGAACAATCATTTTACAAATATACAAATTCTTCAATTCTCTTCTATATTTGAAGCCACGAAAAATCTCTTACAATTAATTCCAATGTTTTATTTTATTCAAAATATCTAATAGCTAAAAAATTGTGAAAAACTTGATGAGTACATAATTATATTTTATCTTTTGGAACAAAAAAATATTGTTTGAAATACAAAAGATTGTTCTTAGATTCAAATTTAGAAGTATCATAAAATTTAAAAGAATTTTCCCTAGTATAATATACAAGAAGATATAATGACATATTAAATAGATATGATAAAAAATATTAAATCAATAATAATTTTTTTTTCTTGCTTCAAGATGAAATTACTCTAGCTTTAAAAATATTATTTCTTATTAATCAATTGTTACATCTTCTTTTTTTTTTGATGTAGGTTAAGAATATTTTAAAATAAAAATTGAAAAACTTGGATTTTTTTTGACTAATAAATAATATTGAATTAAAATCTTAACAAAGACATATTTCACAACAATTGGCAATAATTCAAAATATGCTTTGATATAAAATACTTGATGTTCTTGTGATTTATATTAAAAAAATTATTAGATCAGAAGCAACTTTCAAATAATGATATCATTTCTAATTATAAAGACAATTTTTTAAAAGAATATTAATATTATATTTTACAAAAATATCTTAATAATCTTTACATATGCTTGGGATATTTTTTATAGTCTTTTTATTATTAGAATTAAATATAGTAAAAATAAGAAAATATGATCCTTCTTTTATAGCATATATAAAAGTTCTTACATTTATAAATAAGGATTTAGTTGTATTAGACTTATGAATTTTTACTTGATTAAGAAAAGTTTTGATTATACTATGGAATAAATTAAAATTACAAGAAGTCTAATTTCTATAAGGATTAATTTTTTTTAGCAACTAAATTTGAGGAAGATCTAATCATATTAATTATTATTATTATTATTATTATTTATTGATATATCTATAAGAATAGTTTTTTGAATAATATCTCCTAGACACAAGAAATGACCATCTATGACTTTTGTATGCATAAGCTTAGTTTTAATATCAAAGATATATTATATCTTCTAATAAAAAAATTATGTAAAAAATTAGTTAAGGCTCTTAAATCCAACAATGTAGAAGCTTTGTGATTTTTAGGTTATAATAAAACATCTATTGTAAAATAAGATAAGGATTTTAATGAAAGAATAAGACCTTCACTTGATGTTATATAAGATTTCAATCATATTGTTTTTATTGTAGCTAGACAAATTTTTTTTTCTAACACATTATCTTTATTGATAGTTATGTTGCTCATTTTATTATTGGAAAGTTGTTTTGAAAAATATTTTATAATATATCTAGATTTTTTTTAGTATAAGCACAGTCCTTTTTGACAACATCAAGTCTTTTCTTGCTTAATGAGAAGTTTAAAACATATTGCATTAATTTTCATAGGTTTTAGTTTTCATAAATAAGTTTATCAAAACTTAAGAACTGTTATTACAATTTGATTCATTCTTCTTCAATAAAATCTTTGCTCTTAGCATCTTTAAAAAAATAAAATAAATTTAAATAATTTTAAAGAAAATAAAATGAATTAAAAGTATCATATTAAAAGAATCATATTAAAAGAATTAAATTATTTTAAATTATTTTATAATTTAAAATAAAATAATTTAAAATAATTTTAATTATTTTATAAAAAATCATATTATTTTAAATTATTTTATTTTAAATATAAAAAACTTAAATAAAATAAAAATAAAATAAAAATAAAAATATTACTTATATGCAATAATATTTGATCTAAAAAAATAACAATTACAAATAAATCTATATGGAGTTGCTAAAGCAATACTTCCATATTGTTAATGCAACATCTTTCGGGGTTTTCATGATTAATTTAGTATATTTTTTTATCTTCTTTTCACATTCTTAGCCCTTATTTCCTATTCCAGATTCCCTTGCCCTCTCAATACCTTTTTTTGGTTCTTAATTTTCCATTCCCACCCTTTATCTCCGTTTTTAGCACCTAACTTCTATTTCCATTTCTTATCATTGTGAATGGCAATAATAATCTTAAACAAAGTTGTTTTTTATTTTAAAAAATTTTACTAAGACAATTTTGATATTGCATTTTAATTAAAAGATAGTATACCTCATTATAATTTAATCATGTTGGATTATTTAAGTATGTTATGTGTATTTTGAAATCTAAATAATTTCAACTAAAATTTCAAATATACAAGTCTTTTGAAATAGACATCATGTATAAAATCTATGGCTAAAGGCTTCAACGATTCAAGGTTGGTTTCTTGAATAAAAAAACATGAATTGCTATAAAAATTGCATGTTATTTTCTATAAAATAGGAACAAAAATAGGGGATGGATGTTAAGAATGAGGATGGACAATGGATGGAGGGAAGGAGAGAGGAGTTGAGACTAGGGACATAGAACATGAATGGGAGGGTTAATGATTGGACATAGGGAACAATAGATAGACTGAATTAATCATGAGAATCCAAAGAGGTGTCACATTAACAACACAGCAGTGTTGCTTTAGAAATTTTCATACATATATATATATATATATATACATACATACATATACATATTTATAATCGATTATGATGTATGTATTGTTGTAAAGTTCTAAAACCACAAGAAAAAGTATGATGGAATATTTCTTTAATCTAAAAGGGTAAATAAAAAGAAGGATGAAAAACCGAGCCATGTAGAATAGAGCGCACATGTCAACGAGGCTATTAAGCCGAATCCGGCGGGGAGGGTACCTACCCTCCAAAGCCAATTTGCGACTGCTGACGAGAGCTACAGGTGTCGCAATGAATAAAGGGCGAAGTCGAGGGTAGCTTGCCAGAGCGAGCACGGTGAAAGGGGACGTGGCCTCCCCACCTCCGCCCGATGTCCGTTGCCGCGAAGGCTGGCACTCTACGCTTGTGAGGATGTGGGAGTCGGGAACTCCGCAATCGAGATCACCGTCAAGCAACCACGTGAGCTCAACTGTACCAGTTCGCTCGGTGGTGCTGCTGTCGAGTCTTCGTGTCGCCAAGTTCCCAGAGGGCGTTTCAGGTCTCGTGCCGTGTTCTTCGCTGGTATGGGATTTATCGATTTTAGGTTCTTTGTTTCGTGAATTGGGTTTTGCGGTTTTGAAAGCAGGTGGGCAAATTGGGGAGCTGGTTTGTGTGCGGATTGGATGGTTGAAACGAGGGTTTACGTTGCTGCGTGTGATTTGGGTTGCTGCGAGTTGGGTTGTGATTCGTATGGCGGGGGGGTTTTTTTTGTGTTTTTTTTGTTTGTCAAATTTGTGTGACATGGGTTGTTTTTTTTTATTTTGTATTTTTATTTTTTATATCGCAATCTGGATTTTTTTCTAACGATTCTCAACATTTTTATTTTTATTTTTATTATTGTTGTTATCATTGATTTTCCCACAAATCATCACTTTGCTACGAGTGGAAATGTATTGTTTGGTATTGGAGTGTGGGTCTGGGATTTTTTTTCATTTATTTTGACTTTTACTTGTGGTTTCCTTGTTTTATTTGTGTTGGATTTAGGCTCTGGGATGGGTGGAGGGTGTTTGTTTATTGAATTGCAGTTCATTATTGCGCATGTGCATACTAGTCTGCTGATTTGATGCCTGCTGTCTCTCCCTTGCATGATTTTCTCTTAAACTGTTTCCTCGTGGAAAATTGAATTACTTGATCTTTACCCTGCGTGGCCTCGTGAGCATTCTTGTCACTCTATCACTTAGGTGTATTCAATCCTCGTTAGCTTAGAGATGTTGTATCCCGTGTGGTGGGCAGCGAGTTATCTTCATCGGTGATTAGATGGCTTGTTACAAGCGCTTTATTTTTCTTGTCTTTTTGCATTGGAATTATAATTATTTCATGTTTGTGTCCACCTTGTGCTCAGCGTATTATTTTACCCAGTCATTATCGACACACTTTCTCTCTTCATAATTCTCCGTGTTCATCAAGCTCATTAAGTCGGTTATTGTATGGAATCCGTCATGACTGTCGAAAGTTGTTAGGTTGCGTGTTTGAGAATATAGTGTTGTCAGATTTTTGGGAATGGAAAAGATATTGAGTTTTTCTCGTTCTTCCCATATTTAAGTATCTTGAGGTTATGTAATCTGATTACAATTTATCTCATCAAAATGCAGTGGGGTTTTAAGAGGCAACATCATGGGTAATACACTTGGGTTATACCAAGTGGATCAGGCGACTGTTGCCGTAAAAGAGCGTTTCGGGAAGTTTGAAGGTATCCTGACTCCCGGTTGCCACTGTACGCCCTGGTGTATTGGAGTGAACGTTGCTGGAACGCTGTCTCTTCGGGTGCAGCAGCTTGATGTTCGTTGCGAAACTAAGACGAAGGTGGGTATTCTCTATGTGAAGAAGAATGAGTAGCTGTGACATTGTTTCCGCGTTTTTATCACTTCCGAGTCCTCTTATGTTCCTCGTGGAACTTTTTATGATTAAGTTCCGATACAGACATAGGAAATTCATATGGTATGTGTATGTGCCCGTCACTGTGCAGGACAATGTCTTTGTGACGGTGGTTGCTTCTGTTCAGTATCGATGTCACATTGAGACCGCAGAGGATGCGTTTTATAAACTGACAAATCCTCGGGAACAAATTAAGTCGTACGTGTTTGACGGTGAGGACTTTTCCAATTTTTGAGAACATTAAGATTATTGCGCTCGTGATTTCTTTGAGGGGTGTGAATGGATTTTGTAGTTGGAAAGCAAGTAGTAAGACACGCAGTCTTACTCACCCAGGGTGGTGTTATGACCTTGTGATGGCAGTTGTGAGAGCCAGTGTGCCTAAAATGCTTTTAGACGACGTTTTCGAGCAGAAGAATGAGATTGCCAACAATGTTAAGGAGGAGCTTGAGAAGGTACAGGGATCAACAGATGCATTTCAGTGAAGTATCTCCGCTTCTATACACACGCACATATATATATATATATATATATATATATATATATAATTGTTTTGAAGCTATATGGCATGTTATGATGTAACTAACTAGCTACCTGTGGAGGAGTTGCAGGCCATGCGGACGTACGGTTATGAGATTGTTCAGACACTCATCGTTGATATTGAACCAGATGAAACTGTAAAGCGTGCCATGAATGAAATCAATGCAGGTAAGTGGCTGCATGTTCTGATCATAAACTTTGAGCTGCTTGTGTTGACTTAAACATATTGAGTTGTAAAAGGTTGGCTTTTGTATTACAAATTTGGTACTAAATACTGTATTTTTTTCCTTCTTCTTTCTGTTTTGCATTTGAATGAAATTCAGCTGCTAGAATGAGGGTGGCAGCTGTCGAGAAGGCCGAAGCAGAGAAGATTTTGCAGGTGAAACGTGCAGAGGCTGAAGCTGAATCCAAGTATCTGTCCGGAATGGGTATTGCTCGTCAAAGACAAGCTATTGTGAACGGTTTAAGGGAGAGCGTAATGGCCTTCTCTGATAATGTCCCAGGGACATCGCCAGCAGAGGTCATGGATATGGTGCTAGTGACTCAATACTTCGACACACTGAGGGATATCGGTGCTAGTTCCAAGAACTCAACTGTCTTTATCCCTCATGGGGTTGGTGGAGCACGTGATGTGGCTGACCAGATCAGGAATGGTTTGTTGCAGGGTGATGCCGGGAAAGCTCATGCGATTTAAGAGACTCTATTGTGCACATCTAAAAGTTTTGTAGTTTTGTTCATTATATTTATTCTTTTTCTTCCGGCGGATTTAAAAACAAAAATTGGAATAGGAAATGTGAAGAAAAGCGTTCCTGGCTTGACTATGTATCCGAGAGAATTCTGAAGTTAGTGGTTTTGGATTGTTCCTAGAATAGCCAATAGGGTTAAGAAGATTTTTGGTGAAAGTTTTTTTTGGTTTTTTGGCCTTTTCTCCAGCAGTTTTCAGTTAGAATATTGCTTATGAAATATAGTACCATCGAGTTTCCTTGATTTTCGTGTACAAAATAGTCATCCATATGCAAAGGGAAGGCTTTACAGCAAGTTCAGACTTTTTTACACCGTTGAAGACAGACGGGCGTCTTAGATGTGGTTGGAGCAACTTTACATGTTTATCCAAAACTGTTACAAGTTCGATAGTGCTCATGTTTCAAGAATATTGATATAAGACTATAGAAAGGCTTTTTCCAAATCCAAAAAAAGCTACTTTACTTGCTAAATAAGACCATAAATTTTATTTAAATAATATTGAAAGTTCCAGATTTGAATAATTGCATTTATTTAATTCTATACAGATATACATATATATATATATATATATATATATATCTTATTGTTATAAACTTACAATGAACATTAATTTAGTCAAATTTCTAACTGAATTGTCATGTTTCATCTTCATATACATACTGTGTCTATGATTTGAACATTCCTACCAGCAATGATATATAACTATGTATTTTTTTGATTTGTAACATTTCTTGTTTCTTTCAAATTCAAATGAATGTGATATATATATTCAAATTTATTAAATACATTTCAATTTGACAAATGGTTGTAGAATATATTGTATTGTATCATATTTTTTATTTATTTCTTTAAATTATTCTAATTTAAAACAATATCAAAATGTGAGTTTATTTCAGAAAATCTAATATAAATATAATATCGAAGCTTATATTAGGCTTGTTACTTAATTTGTATAAATTATATCTTTTAATATTTTTTTTAAATAATCAATTTCTATAATTAAAAAAAATTATCAAAAATTGTATGGATCATACCAAATACATATGTGGATATATATATACTTTGATACCAATTCTAACATTGTCAAAACAAACAATTCTAAATATAAATAATTCTAAAACATGTAGATTTATAAATCTAACTTACTTGATAATTGTCAAAGACATGAATTTTGAAGAACCAAAAACTCAATACATTCTTCTGTAACTCAAAAAGAATAGATATTCACTCAAAACTAATATAATATTGAAACTAGAATGGATATTGCTAAAGCCGAGAAGACTAGAAAGTCTTGAAATAAGACTAAGGACTAAAAAAACATTGACAAGAGTGAAGAAGGCTTCACTCTTGTTTATATATATATATATATATATATATATATATATATATAACTAAAAGCTATGTGACAACGTTCTATAGGACCTCTTACATGTGTCCAACTTGCAAGACACATGTTTAATTTATAAGACAAGTTTTCTATATGTGCGCCACATAATTAGCTTGTTCTACAAGCTACTATACTATCACATAATACTACGTATTTAGGTAAACATATATGTCTATGACATTATTCCATCTTCTAGGGAAAATTTCCACAAGGAACAACAATCATATATTGAGAAAGTGTAAGATACAGCAAATTGTGTTTGCTACATGCTTTGATCTTTGTTCTCTTTGAAGGTGGTTGATTGATCCTCTGAGCCGTCGATAGTGTCTCATATTGGAGCAATAAGACCACCTTATTATTTGATCATTGTTAAGGACTTCACAACTTTTTTCAAATAAAACATTTAAAACACTATCGCAGGTGGTTCTTACCTCCAATAATATCACCAAGCATTAAGAGTCGCTTCCAAGGTCATGATACCAAATACATTATATTTCACCATGTATTTGAGGAAGCACATGTTATTCTTGAAGGTCTTAATTTCAATTGTATTGTCTTAAAGGTTGTGATAGTCATAACATCTTGTATGATAACTTAGCAAATGACAGATCTTAAGTTGAATTTATTAGTTGTTGATTCTCTTTCTTTTTAGTGCTACAAATATACAAAAAATAAAATATCTTAATATATCTTAAGAAGAGACATATGAAATAAATGATGGATCTTCATAAACTTTAGTATCTATAGTTAATAAGCAACTAGATTGATTTGTTCTTATATAGAAAATAGTCAAAGTCTATAATATTGCAACTTATTACAAAGACAAATAGTCTTAATATTATGATGAAGTATCCATATTTTATTGCCAACATAGAATTGAGGTTGTTCTTTGTAATGTTATAAATATATATATATATATATATATATATATAATTATTATTTAGATAATATGGATAAGTAGAAGTAGATAAAAGTAGATTAATTGCATAATACCTTTTAGAAAAGCTTCCTAGAAGCTTTTTTAGACTCTGTTTTGATTTTACATATGTTTGTAATTAATTGATAGGTTAGAAACTTGGTCAACAAGCTAACCATGTACTAGAGTTGACAAGAGTGAAGAAGCTATATTCTAGTTTCTTTTTTAATATACATACTTTTTTATTTCTATTTTGTCATATTTCTTTGAGAGAGTCTTACATGTTTATTTGCTTTCATGAAGTTCTTGTCCTTGACATGCAATAGACATCTATGTTGATTTTTTTTCGTCCTTGAGTTTCTTATAGATGTATCTTTATTGTTGTATATAACTTAGATAAATAATTTGTCAAATCTTTTGTTGCAAGATTATTAACTTTTAAAAAGTCAAAAGCCTCAATTCATAGATAATAACTATAATTATTAAAAAAAGATGATTGTTGAGTAGAAGAATGTATTGTGTTATTATAAGCAAACTTTGCCAATGGCAAAAAAATTGTTTAATCACCTCGCTGATAGTTGATGGTATATCTCAAATATCGCTCGAAAACTTGATTCACTTGCTCCATTTGACCATCAATTTAAAGATGAAAAATTAAAGATACTTTTATGTCCACCTTTAAAATCTTAAAAAGAATTTTTCAAAATCATGATACAAATTGCATCTTGTATTTGATATAATATTCTTTGATAATCCATAATAGCAATAGATATTGTCAAGGAAAAAATTAGTTGTTTTTTCTCTTGTAATAGATATTTTATATCATACAAAATATACCATCTTTGTGAAACAATATACTATCTGAATATAGAGTCAAAAGAATATGAAATTGAAAGATCTATGATAAAGTCCACAGAAACAAAATATCATAATTCTTTTGAAATAGATAATAGTTAAAAAAAGTCTATAAGATTGATGATGAGGAATTTTTTATCTTGAACAAATATTATATAATTATACAAAGTCTTTAACTCCCTTCCACATTTTAGGCCACTAAAAATCTCTAGATATTACTTCTAAAGTTTTGCTATATCCAAAATATCTAATTATTGTGACAAGCTTGAAGAATGCATAATCATGCTTTGTATTCTAGAATGTATAATTGTCCCTTGAAATAGAATAGATTGTTTTTGAATTCAAACTTTGAAGTATCTTAAGAATTAGAAGAATTATTTTTAATATCATGAATAAGAAGATTAGAAGACATACTTGATTGAACTTGCTTGAGAAAAATTGAATCAACAATTAATATTGATTTCCTTGCTTGAAGATGAAAATGCTTTGGCTTCAAAAAAACTATTTTTTGTTGATTTAAAGTTGCATCTCCTTCTTTTGATATAAGATAAGAACATCTAGAAAGAGCATCCATGAAACCTTATTTTTTTCAATTTGATAAATAATCTTGAAATCAAATATTTGATAAAGACATGATCTAACACCCTTGGCAATGATTCAAAATATGTACTGACATGAATAATTGAGGTTCTTCTTATCTATATATATAATAATTAGACTAGAAGCACCTTTTAGATAATGACGCCATTCTTGAAATAAATCAACAATTATAAGAAACTCTTTATTGTGAATCTTGTATTTAATTTCAGTTGATGAAAAAAATTTGGAATAGAAAGCTACTGGATGGAACTTGTCATCTACTTCCATTTGTGACAAAATTGCACCCATAGCAAAGTTTGATAGGTTTGTTTCTATAAAAAATGCCTTAGAAAAGTCAATGTGATACAAGATTGATACAAGAATAAATGTTGTCTTTAAGGCTTCAAAAGATGTTTCAACTTCTTTGCTCCACTCAAGTTTGTCTTTATATATTAGATGTGTAAGAGAAGTTATAACTTGAGAAAAGTTTTTGATGAAGATCTAGTAATAATTGATAAATTTAAAAAAATATTATGCATCTCTTATTATTTTTCGAATCTTATAATCTATGATAATTTAAACCTTTTTAGGATCTACCATAAAGCCATCATTTAAAATGTTGTATCTTAAGAAGTCAACTTAAGTAGTTTAAAATATACACTTATCCATCTTAGTATATAATCCTACATCTTTTAGTTTTTGAAATATACAAAAAATATAAAATTTATGCTCTTTTATATTTTTATAATAGATTAAGATATTATCCAAATAATAAATAATAAATTTATTTAAAAATTCAAAAAAGACATCATTCATTAAATGTTGAAAAGTAGTTGGTTCAATCATGAATTCAAAAGACATGATATTATATTCAAAATATCTATACTTAGCTTGAAACGTAGTTTTTTATGTATCTCTTTTTTTAATGCATATTAATTTATATGTACATTGTAGATTTATTTTAATATAGATCATTCTTTGATTGAGTTGATCAAACATTCTTAAATTCAAAGGTAGAGGATATTTATTCTCAATGGTGATCTTATTGAGTCCTTGATAGTCTATATACATCCATAGAAATCTATTTTTTTCTTCATAAATAAAATAAGAGCCTTTGCTAGAGATTTAAAATGGAAAATAAAATTCTTAGCCAAGTTTTTATTAATGCACTCCTTGAATGCAACCAATTTGTTTTGTGATAGGTTATAAATTAGTTCAAATAGTAGTTGAGGTCTTTCTTAGAAATCAATGGAATAGTTATAGAAATGATGCTTTGAAAGAATATCTATATTCTTTTTTTCAAAAATATCTTGATAATCTTGATATTGACTTGGAATGCTATTTGAATTTTTTTAATTAAAAATAGATGTTTCATATATAGAAAAAAATAATTATTCTTTTGAAAGCTCTTCTATCTACTAATAAGGATTTGGAAATATTAGACTTATGGATTTCTATTTGAATAGCAAAATCATGGATTAAACTACAAAAAAAATAAAAATTATAAGAAATTTAATGAATATAGAAATTATATATTTTTAGCCATGATAATTCTCATATAATTGAGTTAGAAAGAGATCTAATCATATTAAATATTAATAAGCTATTATAAATATTAGTTGCTACATCTAAATAAAGAGTTTTATGGTTGAAATCTCCAAAAGTCAATAAAAGACCATCAATTACTTTTACATGTATAGATTTGGTTTTTTAATTAAAAATATTTTTTATTTTTTGACAAGTCGTTGTCTATAAACAAGCCGAGGCTTTCAAATCTAACAAAGCTAAGACTTTGTGATCTTTTGGTTCTAAACAAAGTTCTATTGTAAAACAAGGTGAAGGATCTAAGGAGAAGATAAGACCTTTACTATGTGTTGCATAATATTTTAGCCACATGATTCCTATTGTAGCTAAAAAAATTGGTTTTTTGACACATCATCTTCTTTGACAAATATGCTCCTTATTTTGTAGTTTTATTGCTTCTTTGGATAATGTTGAGTAGTGTATTTAGGTTCTCCATTATACAAGCATAATTCTTTTTGATAGTATCAAGTCTTTTCTTGCTTAGTAAGAAATATAAAATGTATTGTGTTAATTTGTATAGGTTCTAGTCTTGATAAATAAGCTTCTATGAATTTAGAAGCTATCACTATGATTTGACTTGTACCTCTCTAATAAAATCTTTATCCTTGAAATCTTTCAAAGAGTTGATTGTTGCATATAATGGCTTAAGCAATAAATTGCTGTAATGAATCTACTCTTAGCATTATCAATAGTAAATCTTTGATGTTATCTTTTAACCTATACTAAAATTGATTGATAAAGGCATTATCATTCCAATCTATGTCACAAGCAAGGTTTTGAAATTCAACAACATATATGATAGTTGAATATGATCTTTATTATAAAAATATAAGTTTAGTCTCTACTATTTTTTCTTAATCACTTATTTCAAATGTGAATTTAAAAACTTCTAAAAATAAATTCAAATCATAGAGTAGTCGTTAATCCTTTTCTATCAAAGGTATAAACCAAGAGAGAGTACTTCCAAAAAAAAGTGCACTGATAAATCCAACCTGAATAAATCTATTAAAATATTAAAAAAGATGTAAAAATATTGTAAAAATCTTCAAAATTTTGATTTTTTTCCATCAAACTTCTCCAATATATTTATTCTTACCTCCCTCATACTTATAGTAGTCAAACTTATTGGATTTAATTGTGAACTTGATCTACTTGCTTCTCTCAATTGTACAACTCTTTGGCATAGATTTTAAACTTTATTGTTGACATCTTCCATAGGTTTTGAAACACTACATCTATGGTTGACATTAAAAATATTTGATATTTACACCCTAATAATGTCGACAAGTTTATAAAGATCTCTAATGGTTGCAAATCTATTATCACTTTTTTTGAGAGTAGAATCCATAATTTTTCCATTCATAGACATCTCAAAACAAATCTATAAGTTAAATTAAAAGAGGGTAATCTACAACCTCTAATATAAAATGAAAATTTTCATAAAGAGGTGTGGTCCACTTTTTTTAAGGAAAAAATCATTTTTATGGAACTAAAATGTTAGATTGAAGATATGTAGTCCACGACCTTCAAAATACAAGAATGGAAGTGGAGTAGTTGCATCACTTTTAAAAAAAAGATAAGAACAATGAGTTAGCACCTTTATAAAATTGTCAAAGACATAAATTTCAAAGAACCAAAAACTCAATATACTCTTGTGTTACTCAAAAAGAATAAATATTCACTCAAAACTAATACAATATTGAAACTAGAATGGCTATTGCTAAAGACAAGAAAACTAGAAAGTTTTGAAACAAGACTAAAGACTAAAAAGATATTGAAAAGAATGAAGAAAGCTTTATTCTTACCTCCATATATACTATCTAATTAAAAGCTACATGGCGACATTCTATAAAACCTCTAATATGTGTCCAACTTACAAGACACTTGTCTAACTTATAAGACAAGTTTTCTATATGTGTTCTAGATAACTAGCTTGTTCCACAAGCTATTGGTACGTGTAAAATGTAGCTAATTTATTGGCTAAGCTTTTAACCTACCAATCAACTACAAACATGTCTTAAATCAAATACATGTCTATAAAGCTTCTAAGATAATATAAAATCTATCTACATTTATCTTCTATCTAACACTTCTTATCTAAGCAAATATATATCCATGATAATAATAAATTATAAATATATATATATACATGATTTAGAATTATTTATATATATTACAAAATACAACAAAAAAAAAATTATAAAATAAAGATTTTATTATATCACCAATATATTCTTATAAAATTATCTTTTAGCATTACATAATATTCTTAATATTATTTTTTATTAACCAATTAAAAAAATCAATTAAATTTTACTAACAATATTATATGGTACAATGTCTTTATAAAAAGCATGAATAAAACATCTTGTTGGATATTTAAAGTTATTAGTTATTATTAGAAATCTATAAAATATATTTTTTATATATATGTCTATATATATGTACATTTTATATTTATATATATTGAATCATGGTTTGTAAGCATGTGAGCAGCGAACTCATCGATGTTTCAGTAAGACTTGCCAGTGGATTTCACTGTAGTAGTTCAATCTTAACTGAAAGCTATCGGTTGCTGAAATGCTAACCTAAGGATCCAATAAATGAGATCGGGTATATCTCAGATGACAGGCTATCGTGTTAGAAATTTGGCAGGTAAACAGTGAAGAGTTTCTGCAACTCTGCTACATGACAAGTATTTCCTTTTGAATGAATAGCATGGTTGAGAAAAATTAATGACTTCAAACTTTCACATCTTACCTGTCTCCATTATGTGGGGATGTTTTCCACCGCTCTGTCAAATTCAGCATTAACGCGGAGTAAGGTAGGCAATATACTGGAGGCCACGTTGTTAGGGTCATCTTCATTCCAATCTTCTGAAGTTCTCACCAGTGAATTTTTGGAGATGGAAACTATTGTCCATATTCAAACACTTTTTTCCATTGTTGATATTCTTTAAATAATATTATGAAATTGAGTAGTGCTTCAAGTTAGAGGAACTACTTACCCTGCAAAAGTAACATGCGGCGCAGCACCATGAGAAAAATAATTCGATTCAATCATTGCTTTTGTGAGGGTGACCATAAATTGAACCAAGAAATACTCAACAGTAGATGGTAGTTTCCTGTCATCAAATACCTTGCGCATTACATCATTCCGGTATGCAATAAAAGCCATCTAAAGACATCACACTGGAGAAGGAACAGAGCCACAAACTTTCTGGAACAACAACCAATGAACTGACGAAAATGAAATGAAGGCCAATGCAGAAAGAGACGTTTACTGCGATCCCTCCGCCAAAAATAAGTAAAACAAAAAATTATATACAACGGAGACAACGAAAAAGAAACTATCGAGTGATTCTATTAACCTCGTTCCCACTACTTTCCAATTGCAAAAATACATCGTTCAAACGAGATCAATCCTGGATATCAAATTTGGAGAAGTATTTAAATCTTAGAAATATCCTTATCCGGTGTCCTGAAGACAATGCTACTTCTTAAGCACCTTGATAAGAGCCTTGGTTATTTCCACCGATAAGAGAGCATTTTTCGAGGCAAAATCTTCATATCCTTTCGAGAATACGACTTCCTCATAGCTATCTAGGATCACATTTATGGCGGTCTCCTTCAATGAAGTAGCATGAGTGAGAGTAGCCAACTCCAGAACATCCAAAACATTAGATGGAGACACTGTAGCACAAATGAAGGCTTCACACACCTTGCTCAATACAGGTATGTCGTACTTATCGGCAGCCATCAAGAGAGCATGACCATGCTCCGCCATTGCATCAGCTGGAATTTCAGCACAGTACATGAACTCAAGAAGATACCGCAGTTCATAATGGCTTAACTCCGGTATGTGAACAACTCCCGTGTGCGGCTCCTTTAATGCGTCCGACTCAAAAATTGCTCTAAATACAGATGACTTGGTTGCCTTCAGTCAGCGATGAGCATCCAACAAACTACACGAGTGATTATAAGATAAGAGTTGCACTTCGAGCTTTACAAGAATGCCATATGGTGCAATCACACAGCTCTTTAACAATACTTTCACAAAAAATAATATCACTAATTGTATCATATCCGTGAATCAAGGTGAAGTAAAGAATGCACAGAAGCCTCATGAAAATCTAATAGCACATCTTAAAAACAAGAGCATTGAGAGCCTAGCATTGACAATGATTTCATTCAGACAAGGGAATGAATAAGAGACAAGAAACTAACCATGACAATGCGGTGAGCATGTATAGAGAGGCCGTCGTTCGTGACCAATTCGACATCAGTGTGCATCCCCGTTTGGAAAGCTTCTATAAGTGACCCAAGAAACTCAAGCTTCTCACTCACATTTTCTTCCATCTGATCTAGCTGCTTAATCTGATTAAATGCATACTGCAGCCCATACGGAGCTGCTTGCCTTCCTCTCTCTACATCTTCATCATCGCGCCACTGTTGCTCCAGCTTCCGGCAGAGGTCAATGATAGACTTTGCACCTTCGTAGCAATTCTTACACAACGTGTTGCGCGGAGGTCGATACGAGTTCGCCACGGAGGAACACAAGCAGCAATCCATTGCATACCTTTAATAGCGGCGACTGCTACCTTTAAGCTCTGTTACAGCCGCAGTTCCAATCCCGAACTCTTGACCTCTTTCAGAAACATGGAAGCCTAGTTTCATGAAATCAGTTATCAAAAAAATAAAATCCATAAGTTCGCATGAAGATAATTAGAACTCATCTTGAATCGAGTGCATCACCAAACCTGAGAAACCGAACAAACTAAACCTCCGACAATTACAGTCCAGTCATACAGAGGCATTCAATCAGTTCAATTAGTCTATACTTGATGCTCGCATCAGGAGCGGACGAAAAAGAATCAAGCAGATGATATCTCCAACGCATCTGCGACGCGCTTAATCCGCTCAGTGACACATTCGACACGAACACACCAGCAATCATGCACTACACCTCCAGCCGAAGCAAATCATCCTAATTTCTCAATTAAGTCTAATACACAATCCAGCTGTCAAGCACAACGTTCACACATCTTACCATGAAACGCTCGTCGCCATCATCTTAACCTGTAGCAAACCGCCGCTTCCTCCACCAAAGATCCCCGTAACAACAGATGCAGTTTCTTCTCCACGAATCCTCCCTCACTCACTCACTCTCCCCCGTCTTTCCACTATTTTGACACTCCACTTCCGTGACAAGACACAGCACACCTCACACAAATCTGAAATCAACGCCAGTTAATTAATACCAGCTGCCAAATGACACGATCCATCAATGCATGGCCACTATCGCAGCCCCGGCGCCACACGTGCCTCCACTCTTCCACTACTAAGCTCCTCGACAACCTCGGTAATGCATCATATTAGGTCGCTTGAACCTCCACAAGGAGCCTCTTACTCAGACCATGCGGCTCAACACCTCAATTTGGCACTGATGGAGTCGAGCGAGCGAGCGCTGAAAGCAGGGTCATTCTATGGGGGCAAGCTTCAGCTCAAGCTGCATTTTCTCGCCATAGCCACTGCCAGGGTTAACAAACTCAGCATCATTCATCCACTATTGGGAGCCGCGACGCCACTCTCATTCATCCACCTCTGGGAGCCACAATGCTGGCTCTTCGACTCCAGTCATAATCTCGAATTCCTTCATTTCGACTTTAAGCATTTTGCAGCTACACTAATTGTTTATTTGAAGAAATTTGTGTTTTAATTGATATAATAAAATAAAATAAATACGATTTTTTAATATTTTAGTTCCTTTCTACATAAGTGTAAGACTTTTTTTTCATTTTTCCTTCTTGATTTTTAATTTTTTTAATTCATTCCTAATCTTCATCCAATTTTTTGAATAGTTTATTTTATTGTAGAAAGTATGTCAAAATTATTTTCCAATTTTAATTTAAAGCTTTTAAAGAATTGGCTTTTTAAAATCCTTTATAATCATGGTTTAGATTTTTTTTTCTTTTTTTTTTATCTCTTTAATAATATCATCAATGCTTTATTGCCCATTGATTTATTACAATGCTTCTTATTTAGATTTTTTCTCAGCATATTTTACTTGGATTTGTGTATTTAAATTAATGAGTTTTAAAAATTGTGGTACCTAACATAACAAAAATATATGAAATAATTGATTAAATTAATAATAATACAAAAAAAAATCATTATTTATTTTTACATTTATGAGAATGTTGCACATATAAAGATGAATAAAGATGAAGATGAATTCTTATGATGTGATTTTTTAGCTAGTATAATAAAGTTAGTATTAATATTTATTTTCTTAATTGTAAGTTTATTTATTAAGAAAACTTCACAAATGATTACTTTGTAGGTTTAAAAAATATGTTCTTGATAAATAAACTTCTTTTAATAAAAATAGATAATAATCTTATAAAAATATAAGAAAATTTAATTTTAATATATATATATATATATATATATATATATATATTATTACTATGATTTCATTCCTTATAAAAAAGACTTTATCATTCTTAAATTTTATTTATTTATTTTGATTAGTTTAACACATACCATGTGTGTTTATTATATTTTTTTGAAATATATGTACATATTTAAAACAAATATAATAAAACATATAATGAAAAAAAGCAACAAGTTTTTTTTTATTGTAATTTTTAATATTTTATGTTACATGTATTTATTGTAATGTTAAAAAAGAAGAAGATACATTTAGAACAAAATAGCTGTTTTTCTAATAGATATGTTGTAAAATATTTTTTTTAACGTATCATTTTTTTTTAAAAGATCTATTATTTTAGAAATACATTTTTAAAATATTTGACAAATTGTAATAGACTTCACTGGTGCAACTCAGACTACTTTTGGATTCTTACACTCTACCACATCCCGGCATAGACAAAAACATGTCATGAATGATTGCCGAAGCGTGTAAGCGTGTAATTCACTCGAACATGTAATTGTGCACAAGTATAGAAAATCAATGTCCCGCAGGCTGCCACCAAGAGCTTGATACCACATTAGAGGAATGAATGGTGTTGTAAGCTAAACAACTCCAGGAAAATAAAGGTATAAGATCTTTCGAGTACTATTTCAGAGGCAACAGCAAATAAGAAATTAAGTCCAAGATTTTCATCCTTACGTAATTGGAATGAAAAGTGCATTTCAATAAGTGTACTGTTCTTTCACACACATGAGGTACGTTTCTAATGTTCAAGCCCCCACTTGTGATGGAATTGTGAGTAACATTAACAATCTCATACCGAATTCATCGTACCAATTGAATGCCAAGCATCATCTTGTGAGGATGTTTTGAGCTATGTTGGTTTCAAACCCATGTTTTATCAACTGGCACAAAACCTCGAAATCGGCACTTCTTGGCATATCTGTTCGATGGTAACGGCCAACTATATGTGACTTGGAAACCAACTAAACTTGCTGATCAAAAGTGGCACAAGAAGTATCTTGCAGAAAGTTTTACCAAATCGTGGAAATACTAATCCCACATTGGCACAAAATATATGAAGCATCACCCAAAATCTAAAAGAGTGAGGCATGAAAGGACTCTGCATTTGAACCCATTCAACATGATGATTACTTTGATGCCTTGAACATAGGGAGGATTCGCTGCAAAACACTAATGAGCTAACTTGAAACCTCACCTTGAGAACCAGGCAACTTTCAAAACAGGGTAGGAATCCCTCGTTAGCTACATAATGATGTTGCATGACATTCGCCTGCCAATGAACACCTATTCTTCCTGAAAAAAGAAAAGAATGAAAGCAGTGTCTAAAGATCTGGGTTGGTCCTGGGATAGGGCAAATACTCGCGTCCGGTGGGGGTCCTCACAGTTTGGCCTCCTGCATCAACGATCACAGCGCAGGCTGCCAGTGCCGCAGCTGCACCTATACCCACAGGCAACTTCCCAGCTGCAGATTCAATCCCGTTGGTCAGTAGAGTACAAGTGCAAACGTACGACTGATTGACTTAGCGTTTCACAGAGAGCACAGTATCAGTACACAAGAAATATTGCTAACTGAGTCTGGCATCTTTCACTTAACAACCATTTAGAGGATAATTGCCACTTGAAGGAATGAACAACCGGCTTCTAGACATTCTACTGTTCAATCAGAACTTGGAAAATTTAGACCCGCGTACTTTGTTCCAAGGGTATCTAGTTCAGACTTGATGGCATCCAAATCTTAGCGACTTCATTTTTTTGCAGTTTGTGACTGATTGGGGACCATACAGGCAGTGACTGCACTATTACTACTTGCGATGACTTCAATGAATTAGGGTTTTGACACGTCATCAAAGTAGAATTTTAGTCGATTGATTTGCCAGGCAAGAATATGCTCGAAGGGTTTGCAATCAATTCAATAGATTGAGAAGTAAACTAGACACATACAATTTGATTCATTTCTCTAATTTCAAATCGGTGGCCTCAATTCGAAAAAATTGAGGCTCACAGATGGTTAAAGTCGTGTCCACTGCAGATACTGCTATTCCCAACAACCATCGGAAATAACATAACCAGCATGTGATCGGACTGAATTGTGTGGGAGAAAATGGCGCCAGGGCTGTGGAGAAGTGAAGCTCAGAGAAAGAGGGATTGTAGGAACGTACCCAGAAAGAAAGCGAACAAAAATACGATGTGTTTACCTAGCCCTCTCAACGACTGTTCAAAAAAAAAGGGGGGGGGGGTGATTCACAAAAGAAAGAATATCCAACCAAGGGATTTTGGAGCTTATTGGGAGTGAGATCGATAGCTAACCTCGAAGACCGAGAACACTCCCAGCGGCAGCACCGCCCAATGCAGAGTTCCAGACATCCTTCTTTCCGCGAATAGAGGAAGCTAGTGCATCCGTAAATGCAAAAAGACCACCAATTGCTGCAAACGTCAGGCCATAGTTACCCATGATCCTCCCCGTTTTTCTCAAAGCTGGCATTGCGACGTTCCTCTCGACGGCCGGAACATCCTGCCATGTCGCTGTAATGGCCCCCAGAATCATGCCCGCCAAACCACTCGACCCGGCCGCACTAGCGGTCCTGAACGCAATAGTGTCGTATTCCCCCAAGTTCCGAAGCTCGTCTGGATCCATGTGAGCGTACTTGTCGCTCTCCATCGCTCCCAGAAACTTCAATCACCACTCGCACCCTACTCCTGCTTAGAGTGGGCTCTAAAACCCAACATCGCCAACAACCCAGCTTTAAGATCAATAGCAATCTAAGAAATTTCCAACCCAAAGAACAAACGGAAAAAACGAGAGGCATTTAGGGCAGGGTGCCGAAGCTGGATGAAATATGACAATATTTGGATGGAAGAGGAATAGCGCTTCAAGCATGAAGGCTGATTGCTTCGATGCTTGGATGAGGGTCCTCAATCTCATGTCTGAGGTTTAGAAGGGGTAAACATTTATGTGCTCGCATTTTGTGCTATGGGTTTGTAGAATACTGCTGTGTGATATGAGTTGTGGGTGCCGATGAATGCATTTACGGGCAAGAGTAGGGCTTGAACTTCCCGAGGATGCGTTACTCGAAATTAGGTTTGGAGGTATTCTTAATTTTTGCGCCTCACCTGTTTTCCCATTCTCGTTGTATATTGTCCTTAAGAGTTTTTGCAGAAATGTTTCGAGCAACAGAGCTACATACTCCGTGATGGATCGCCAATCTCGTGTGCGACTTCTTGAATGTTATGCCATGTCTTGCCTAGGAACCAATGCTTCTCAGTGAGCTACAGACTTTGGCATAATATTCCATAGCAATAGAAATAAAGCTTTGACAAATTTCACATTGAAGTTTTTAAGGTCATTAGGACGAGGGTTGCTCTTCTTTGTTGGTGAGGGATGATTCTGAAAATCAAATGCCCTTTCTAGAGTCTTAAAGTTTCGTATCCCGAGTTCACAACCACATTTTAGATCTGAGTTCAGTGTGGTCACCATCGGAATTCCAGAGTCTGCGTCCCTTTGATCAATGGTCACAATTGGCTGTTCTGCAGTAACAGTTCCCAAGTTCGACTCGCATGGCTGATGGGCACGAGCTTGCCTCCATGAGTAACGTAGGGCCACAGCAAGACGGCAGTACGCTCACACCAATCCTGTGGGCATGTGGTGCTGTGAGCCAGGTATGAAATAGTTTGGAACTTAACATGCTTACCGCCCTCGAATAATTCTCTGTCTGTTTTCTCTAATCATTGCAACACCGTCCACATTACCTATCTTATTGTTTTTTTGTAAGGTTTCCTTTTCCAGTGTTCTCGATGGCTAGTTGCTTGCATTCTCAGAGCAACTTTGTGGCTGTAGGCGATTGCAGCTCGTGTACTTGCTAAGAAGGGGGATGGGGGTCCATCGATGCCTATTCGGGCGTTCTCTATTGCATCTTTGCTACTAGGTACCGGCTTTTGTGCTGTGGGCGGTACACTATGGGCAAGCGGAATTCGAGAGGTGAGATTGCCCAATTTTCTGTACAAACATGCGCAGTTCAAGGAGCTGCTTTTTTTTAAAGAAAAGAAAAGGAGTCAATAGAACTTCGATGTTTCAAGAAAATTCTCATTTTGTAGAGAAATAATACATTTTTTAATGTACATGTACCCTGGCACTCATGCAGGTGGAGGATCTGAGAGGCATGGGTCGCACAGTTCGCAGTGCTTTTGGAAAACCGCCTCGTATGGACACCTAATCTTTGCATATCATGGTCTAAGATTTTACCAAGAACTGAGCCTGCCTTTCTATGCCTCCTCGTCTTTGAGATTTTGGACTTAATCAAATCATGGAAGAGCCTCTCAAGTGTTGTTAAACAGCCTACTGGTTGCCTCGTGTACGACTTTTATTTTTGGTATCACGGGAGCTAGCTGCGATCGAATGCCTGATATGAAGCTTATTGTTGGAGAGTACTCTCCTGACCTTGTCAGCTACATAAGCAGGCTTTCCCAGCTGAAGGCACATCAGAGAGCAGCATTGTTTGTATCCTTGGACGAGGTTAGTGTCTCCATTTGCTTTGTGAGAAGGTAGTTCAGCAACTCTCTTTGTTGCTTGTTATTTGCAGCTATGATCAGGCTGAATATACAGGGTCCCAGTAAAATTTTGCAAATGCTCCGGAGGTAATTGTTGACCCAACTGCCTTTTCCAGAAGGGGCTGCAATTAAACCTGTTATTTTGGCATTCTGTTGTTTTGAGTTGCACCTTACAATATTACCTTGCCTTAGCTCGTTGAGAAAAATGATTGCTGCAGAAGAATCCCTTAGTAGTAGAAACTGCTTGTAGAATTGCTGACTTGTTTGAAGTAACTTAGTTAACATATGTTGACCCATTGAGCAAAATCAGGCATGTGATGGGGCTGCCTCAGCAAGAGCTTTGTTAATGATAGTGTCAGATCATTTTAGGAGTTTTGTGTTCACTTATGCAAGAAATTTAATTTAATTTAAAATTAAAAAAACAATACAAAAACATAATAGAATCCATTCCATTAATCTTTAATGAACCAGATTAGAAGCCATAACCTATTCGTTTCTCTAACTTATAAACCAAGTTTTTCTATCACACAAACCAAGTGTTCATGAGTGTTTTTGTATTTTACCATTATTGTTATTAATTCTGGCCTTTCTTGTTACCAAAAGTCCTTGAATACTTTTAAGATATTCATTTTTTCAAATCTTGGAAACCAAGATAGAGGTTGTGCTCAACTCACATAGAAAACCTTACAATTCACACCAGCATTGTAAGCAATATACAATTTTAACATCTTATTCTTTACACCTTCACTTTCAAAAATTACTACTCCAAATTCTATGTGTACTAAGATGTTTGGCAATTAGATTTTAATAGCTGTGTCTACCTAATAGTGTAGTTTTATATATTAAAATAATTGCTTGAGAACACTCTTAGTAGATTGTTGTATATATTTTCACGTTTTATCTTTAAAAGAATTGTAATAGTTAGTTTTTATACACAAAATGTAATCAAAACCTGTATATATATATATATATATATATATATGCACACAAATGTGTATGTGTTTATTAAAAAATACAGTAAGCATGTGTAAGGTGATTATATTTGTAATTAGATTCCTAATTAGATTGGATCAAACAAAATATTGTTTTATGATTAACTTTTAAATGATAATTTTAAATTCTTGCATTGTATGAATTTAAGCCTAATAACTCTTGGGACAGTAAAAGGTTAAATTCAAAGCTTTTGTAGCTTGTTAATCCAAACCTATACCAAGTAAAATGCCATTTTTGTAACTTCATTAAGTTTTTGTTGTGATTTTTGTGTTTGACACTTCTAAATCTGTAAGCAAGTAAGGTACTACTCGTCTATTTATAGGGTCTAGTGGCTATGAAAGTTCAAAAACCAATTTAGTTTATATATATATATATATATATATATTAAGTATTAGGTTATTTCAAAGCTTTGGCTATTTGGTTTGAGATCAACAAGAAACTTTTATATTTCTTCAAAGTTGTAAAATAGTATTTCTTTAATACATACCTAAACATCTTTTACAAATAAATTGATTATAATTTTTATCCAAGAAAATAATATCGGGGAATAGAACATCTTTTAAGATTTTCTATTTTTATATTTTTTTATCAATTTTTTTTCAAAATATAACTTACATTGTTACAAAAAAAATTCTAAAATTCTATTTTTTTTTTTTTAATTCTCATATGAAAGCTTTTTCAATATATACATCCAAAAAAATTATTAGAACTTGTTTTGATAAAAAAAATGATTTTAAATAGATATTTATCACAATCATATGTAGATCTTTACCAAACCTTGCAACCAATGAGACCATTAAAACCATCTTTGTTATATTAAGAATGTAGAAGATTATAAATTAATCCCAAAATTGTTGATTACAATTAAACATAATTAAATAGGGCAATTGAATTCAATTAGTATTTTATATAAGTATTTTAGATAGTTTGACATTGAAGATAATAGTCTCATTTAACATAAACAGACTTAAAATTAACAAATAATTAGTAGATGAAAAAAAAAGAAATTTTTATGCAATAAAGCCAATAGACAAAAACATCTAGGTGCAAGTAGCAAATTTCATTCTTTGAATATTATAATTAACTGCAATAAATTTTATATCAATTCACTAAATTATTTGAGGAATTTCACAAGTTTTAAGAACATCAATAAGAAAATTGAGTCAAGATGTTATTAAAAAAATGTAACTTTCACAATAAATTCTTATCAATACTTTATACTTTATACCTCATATAAATATGAATAGAGTTGTGGATTTCAATAACAACTATTTAAAAAATTAAGTAACAAGCTTATATTAAAAATAGATCTTTATTATAAGTCACATATTTTTATCTTGTGCAATATTTTTTATTTTTTAGTATATAAAATAATACATTATATATAAAAATATATATATAAATTTTCATTATTAATGATAAATATTTACATATTTTCTACAAATCTAATGTTGTCTTTTACATTGAAAACATTTTAATTTTCTTTTCTAATATTTACTTCCCTTTTTTTCTTTTTTTCTTGATTTTTTACTCCTATATATATATATATATATATATATATGTATTTATATCCTAAATTTTATTTTCATTTTATATCAGATAACTTTTTATTCTTTCTTTTTTACTACTTCTAACTTATTTTTTAACATGTTTTTTGAATAGCTGCTCCAACTTCTTTACATGCATTTAAAATTTTTATTTTAAAAATTTTATGACTTACTCTCTCTCTTTTCAAATTAACAATAAATCCATGAAATTTTTATTTTTATTCTGGATTACTGAGACTTCTTAATTATTTTAATTCTTTTTAAAAATTGTTCTAAATTTTTCACATAATTAAAAAAGTAGAAGAAGTCATAGATTTTCATCTACTAGTCTCTTATTTTTAATACATGTGTGGGTATATATATATATATATATATATATGTATACATATGTTTAAATCTCTTGTTAAAAAACATAATTGAAAATTACATATCTATATATCTTAAGAATTTACAAAATTTAAAGGACTGAAATAGGTTAATCTATTTTTATTAAAATTTTGATGCTCAAAGGTAAAATATATATATATATATATATATATATATATATATAATTTTATTTAAAATATATGTTTTGCAATATATTAAGAAACACAATTAAACTTTACTGGGATACACATAAACATGAAAAGTTACCACACCCTAAGTCCTGTTTTTCTAATGATGCTCCACATTGTTCAGAATTATTGCATTAATATTCTGTTTAGGTTTTAAATAACAATATTTACACTCTTCTTCAACAGTTTTAAATGAGAAGATATTGATAATATCTGCTGTGTTGGTTATTTATGTCATCATTTGCAATGTTAATAATAATTAATTCCCTGCCCAAAGTGACTTACTAGGACGGAAGCTAGAGCTGTGGGATTAGGGCACAGCGTCATCAGCAGTGCCCAGCTAAGCAATCTACGTGGAACTAATTAATACAGCTGGCGATGGTTGAATAATTTCCAGACATATGTCGTCTAGTGTCACAGCCTACGTGGCCTCTCAGTACATGGCTGACGGGGCACTGTGTTCCTCGTGCTCCAGCCCTTGTTCCTCCATATGAAGCGCGAATCTCTTGCCATGTCATCACTTACCTGAAAAATTGTGTGGAGTTGGACTTCTCTGTACAAAGCGAAACTTGCAATATCGGTGGTAAATGTTCCGTACCATGCAACTGAAGACATCTCGTGAAAAAGACGACGATTCGCGCCGAGCATCAGAATACAGCTCTCTCCATCTGTTGCCATAACCTCAGCCCAAATCTTGTGTCTCGACGTCTGGATACTTAACACACTCTATCTGCCCACGGAGACTGTACCAGAGAGAGCTTCGTAACTAATTCCAGCCAAGTGTCGTTTGGGCGACGTGGTGACACTCATTTCCTGATCAGCACGAGACAGGCTCTGGGTCCAAGTCGACACAATTCGTGGTTTGTATCCTGGTTCTGCATGAGGCACTGCATGTGACGGTGGGTAAAACTGAGAAGAAGAAGTTTGTGGTGCGTGTAGGGTCGTAGCTGCTGCAGAAGGACCGTAGGTGGTAAAAGTGAAGTTGTGGGGTGGGAATCGGGTGGAGAGTGAGTTGGTCAGGAGAGTTGTGCGTGTGACGAATTTCGGGTGGTGAGAGTGATCGCTGGAACAGACCGTCGATGTTTCGATGGGTGGGTGATGTCTATAGATTTCGAATTCAGTTGAGATACAAGTTGGATTGTTTTCAGCCTCAGAGGTGCAAGCTGCTGCGTGTTGACACTTAACTGAATCACCGGCGTGACAAGTGGACTCGATTTGTTTCATGGTTTGAATCTGGTTCGATCTTAAAGGTCGTGTCTGTATATTCTTGTGTGCGGCGAAAATAGCTTCGGTTATACGTTCTTGAAGTAGCTAAGACTCACGGCCCCATTAGATGTGACAATTCTAAAAACGCTCCAGATGCTTCGATGCTAGAAACGTCATGGTTGACGAGAGTTCCACGAACGTTTCAGCTCTTATTGTAACCATGGGAGGAACCACAGGAATTGAGAAGAATCGCATTTGCGCTGAAGAGATTATGACCACTTTCACATTAAAGTGCTCACCGGAACTTAGACAAGTTCGGCATTACGCCTCGTAGTAGTTAAGCAAATTTGCACAAGAAATGTTCATTCCTTCTCGTAATCAATCAATGCCGAAATAGAGTTGAGAAAGATTGGACCATATACTATACTCACGAATTCGTCATCCATTAGTCACAGTGGAAAGAAGAGTAGGTAAATTGGTGACGACTGGATTCTGCCAAGACATCCCTCTCACAGCTTGATGCAGCGCGCCGCATAACGATCACGCAAGGACGGCGGCAAAAGTGCCCAAGTAATGTCCCGGCGAGCATGCAGTAGTAGCAGAGACGTTTGCTTGGTGGGTTATCCTGGACGAAAGCATCATGGGAAAGACAGATGCAGGATCGGGAAGTAGTAGATCATGTACGAAGAAAAATATGCGCCAAGCACCCGCTAAGGGCTCCAAGAGGGGATGCATGAAGGGGAAGGGCGGGCCTGAGAATGCTTTGTGCACATATAGAGGAGTGAGACAACAGACGTGGGGCATGTGGGTGGCTGAAATTCGGAAGCCAAATCGGGGCCTTAGGTTATGGTTGGGGACGTATTCGACAGCCGAAATCGCTGCGCTCGCTTATAATTCCGCGGCGAGAATTCTCTACGGTCCTAATGCGCTTCTTAACCAACCAAATCGCACACCTAATGGTTCTAACCCTGATGAGCACATGGATCGTACAACCGCGACGTATTCATCAGCTTCCTCAGCTGAGATTGGAAATTTAGGTGTCTGTACACTCTCACACCGTCCCTGCTTGAGCGACTGTGCTTTTGTCAGCATTTGCGTGTTTGTTCAAGCCTTGCCCGCCTGTTTGAAGCAGCGTTGCGTCAGCCTCAATCTGTAATTAATCTTCGATTTGTTCCTCCATGCAACGCTTCTTGTTTGTCAAAGCTTCTAACGGGTGCCCTGCAATGAGCTAGATAGCGGCCCGCTTAAGTAATACATGTCATAACTTACTTATACTCTTCAGTAATGCATCTCTCGACAGGTGGTAAAAGCTTTCAGAAAATCGAGAGAGTGCCATGCAAACTTCGCAGTGGAGGAGCTGAGCCGCATTCACAAGCAGGCAAGGAGGGCAGGAGCGCCGCGTCCTTCACCACTCCTGAGTCACTCGCAGATCACGACATAGATACAGCCACTTCGCTACAAGCCCTCCAGATGTTGGCTGCCGACGTAGTGCTTCCGGATTCCGAGCCTCCAAAACCCTGGCCATGCGACCCGAAGCCCGAGTTCATCGACAAGGCGTGGTTACAAGAATCCAACCAACCCAGTTTCCTTCCTCCCAAACAACTCATCAAGGATGTTCTCGAAAACGACCACGACATCTTCAATTTCAAACTGGACAACGGCAGCGACTTGGCCCCACCCCTGCAACTGGAAACGACCAGCGGCCTCAACGAGATCACAACCACCATCGGCGCATTTTCCGAAGCCCGTTGGACGAAGAACGAGTGCGGTTCGGACATGCCCGAGGCAATGCCGGAGTCGGATCAATCGAACGGCAGCACCTTCACCTCCACAACCCACACAATGGATACAACGGTAGACGTAGCCTCATTGGGCGATCTCAACGACGAGGATCTGCAGATCCTGATGCAACTCTGGTCGCCGGAGCTCGCGTCGTACGCTTGGAATGCGGCGTCGGTAGAGTTGTCGGTATCGCGATGAAACTGTGCATGGGCCGCGATCTGCACTTAGGGTTGAGTCGATGGCCAACTATTGTATAATGCAAATCAACCTCTTTTGTTTCATGATTCTAGTGGGTCAAATCTTGTCAACCTGGATTGAGTCTTTTGTGAAGGTTGTGTGGTTTGTGTAAATTGTGTTGTATGGGGAACCATGTGTTGCTATGTAAAATAGTCACATGTACTTGTCTATACAATGTGCAGTTTGTTTATATTGCAAATCAAATTATTGAAATGTCATTGTGAATTTTAGGATGCATTAAAGTAGGAGAGTGGGTCAGTGAAAGCTTAACAAAGAATAGAAAAGTCAAAGGAAGACAACATAAAAACTATTACAAAACATTAATCGAGAGCATGAAAAATTAATATAAAAGTTGCTAAGTTGCATTCTAAATTTTTTTCCTAGTTTTAGTGAATTTTTTTTAATAGAAAAACTAAACAAGATGAACATATATTGTTTTATGGAACTAACTTCATTTTAATAGAATCTTATTAAGTAATTTATTTTTAATCTTGTTTGTTGTGTTTGTTCAATGTTTTGTATTCTTGAAATCTAATTTCAAGTTTCTTAGTTGATCCTTTGCTATTTTATTTGGTGTGTAATAATTCTTTTAGTGCTTTTCTAGCTCTTATTTTTGAGATTTGGAGTTAATCCATTTGAATTGATATTTGAGTTGAACTTAGATTTTAGTTTATAATCACCTTTTTGGTGTTACACATTATCTGCTTCTTATAAAGTTAAGAGTGATTAAATGTTTTTGGTGTGATTATTACTTGTGCATGAAAAAGGTTCTATATTGTAAAAGAAATTTTAGGTGGAACACTTGTGTTTATAGTATTTTATATGACAAATATTTGATAGAATTTGGAATACATTCTTAGAAGTCATATATTGGTGAGAAGTCTAGCTCTTTTGAGACACTCATCTTTAATAATGCATAATTTTTTTTGTTGTTGCCAGTCAACACCAATGTAAATGCTTTTGTATAGAAAAATATATTTTAAATTTTAAGTGCCATGGTTTAATTTGTTGCTATGGTTTGGTATCAACTTTGAAGATTCAATGACATGTTAGATCAAAAGCTTTTTGAGTATGTTGTAGGATATTTTTAAAACATTCAAAATTAAAAATCAACAGCTGCAACCAAAATGGTTACCATCCTAAAAGATTTTGGACAAAATAGTCCAAGAATTCTTTTCCTTAAAATTACCAGATTTGATTTGATTTGATTTTTTGTTTTGATTTTTTTCTTCTTATAATCAAAATGGCCTTTTTTTTTTTTTTTTTTTTTTTTTTTTGTTTTATTGTAGAACTTCTTTCTTTTGGATACATGGTTCTCAAAGCAAACACTAGGCAATTACTACAAGCCTTTTGTCCATGCTTCTTTATCTAAAAAAATATATGGTTTACCAATCCCACTTAATGCGTTTATTTCTTCAGAAGATCCTTTAAGTATATAGTTATGCTTCATATGCTTTGTTTTGTAAAATAAAGTTTTAGAAAATATTACATCTTATGTGTGATTTAAAATTGTAATATGTATTTGGAATGTGAATGTAAATAAGAGAAATGTGTAAATTTTTAGTATGTATATATATATATATATATGTGTATTTGAAATATAATTAAACAAACATTGGTCTAAGTAATCTAGCTATTGTGAGTAATTGATACAGATTGACAAAAATATTGTAAAAGGGATGTAAAGGAGAATTAAATATAGCAAATGTAGATCAAAGCAAAAAATAAATAAACAAAGTATAAGTGACTAACCAAAATAACGAAAAGCATCAATGATTATTATTAAGAAGTGTTTTTGTAATTGGCAATGAAAACAAGTGTTAATTAGCATAAAATAAATAAATAAATAAAAATAATAATCCATAAAATATAATGATAGTAAGAAAATTTTATAAATGTATTTAGACAAGAAAGAAAAGATAGGTATTTAATTTGGTTAATCTAAGCTCTATTCAAATATGGTTCAAATATAATTTAGCAATAAAAAAAAACATGGAAAATTATATATTGTGATAAGTTTTATAATAAGTGGTTAAGTAATTTTATAAGATAGTAAATTCTCACATTTATTTAAAGTTATTAAGAATAGAATTTGATCTAAATTCTTTATAAAGTAATTTATAGGTTTTTTAAATTATCAATAGTTTTTTAACATAAGGTAAGAAGACCACAAAGTTGGACACATATCACACATTTAGCCACTTATATTACAAGTTGGCAATGTAGTAAAAATGATCAAAACTTATTCTGCAAATTAGATATGTGTCTTGCAATTTAGACACATGTCATATGGCCTAAAGGATATTGCTACATAGTTCTTTAGTAGATAATACATATGGAGGCAAGAATAAGATCTTCTTCACTATTATATTCTATTTTGGTTCAAGACTTTCTAGTTCTTTTATATTTAGCAATAGGCATTCTATTTTCAATTTTATATCCATCTTTTAGTTGTCTAATTTCTTTCTTTTGGTGATAGGGGGGTGTATTGTCATTTTTGGAATTTTGTTGCAATTTGTATCATTAATAATTTGATAAGAATCTTAATATTATATATATATATATATATATAAAGATGAGTAGATAATTCCACTTATTATTGTTGTGTTTTAAATATTGGATACTACTTACTTTTGAATTGAAATTTTTATTTTTTGAGGTTGATTCTTTTTATTAAAAAAATAGAGTAATTATTTATTAAAATTTAATTTAATATTAAATATTATAGATTATTTTATTTCTAATTTTATTTTTATATTTTTTGAAGTTTTTTTATAATAAAAAAAGAAAAAATTTATAAGTAATTTTCTTGACTAAAATAAGAATAGATTGCAATTACTACTATAAATAAAGATCCATCATTATTCTATGTATTTCTTATTGAACCTTATACAACAATCAATATATTGAGATGTAATCAATTACTACCATTTCTTCTTGAAATATGTAATAAGCAAGAATTTAAAGTAGAAAGAATCTTAGACTCTAGGCAGTACCAAAATAAATTGGAATATCTCATATATTAATGTTGATTAGTAAATGGACTTAGTAGCCATGCAATAATCTAACAAATGCATGAAAAGTTGTCTTTGCTTTTCATCAATGATATCTATTAAAATCAAGAACTAATTTTGGACAACAAGATGTTATAAATCAAAATAAACTGTGTTTAAGAATCAACTTATAGAAATATTTTTTAAAATATAAAAAATCAATGGTCAATAAATTCATTTAAAAAATTTTTATTTGAAAAATTACTAAATAAATTAATTAAATAGTCTTAATTTAAAAAAATTACAATTGAAATAAAGATCTTAAATGGAGACATGTCTTTTATGTAAATAATAAGATATTACATGCTTTATACTACAATCTTAGAAAAAAAAACTTATTGCTTATTGATATTATTGAAGATGGATATTACACTTGATAAAATAAAAAAAAAATAATGTTTCAAGGTAGCTATAAATGCCTCAATAATAAGTAAATAAATAAATGATAATTTTGTCTTGATATAAAAAATGATTGATGGTTAAACAAATCTATCAATGACATTTGTAGAAAACAAAATTAAAGTTTATAATTGATATCATTTAATGGATTTTCAACTTCATCAACTTATAAAGCCATAATACAATTCTTTATAAAACTTATTGTCTAGAAAGAAAGATGATATAATAAATAGCTAAATTTATTAGTATATTTAATTATATATAGAATTAAATATAAATAAATAAAAATAGGTTAAATTATTGAAATCTTATTAAAAAGCTTTGTTGCCTTTATACATATTTATAAGTAATTAATAGATTGATAAATTAGTTAAGAAGTTGATTATATGGCAAACATGAAAAAAACTTGCTTTACAAATTAGATATATGTCTCATAAGTTGGACATGTATCGTATGGCCTAAAAAACATTGTTACATAGTTCTTTAGTAGATGGTACATATAGATACAAAAGTAAAGTCTTTCTCACTCTTATCAATGTCTTTTCATATTCTATATTAGTTTAAGAGTTCTTAGTTATTTTTTATTTAATAATAGTTATTTTAGTTTTAATTCTATTTCTATCATTTAAATATCTATTTTCTATATTTTAATAATATAAGATTATATTGTTATTTTTAAATTTTTATTATTGTTTATGTCCTTGATATTTATAAATCATTGCTTTTAAAATTATAAAGATGATATTTTTTATTAAATATATTTTTATCTATTTTTATTTACTTCTTAATTTAAATAAATGGAAGTAAATAAAAGTTTTATTGAAGTTGGATTTATAAGAGTACTTCTATCTGGAAGTGCTCTTTCTTGGTTTGTACCTTTGATGGGAAATGATGGATAATTTGATTATGATTTGAATTCATTCCCGTAAATATTTATGGCTACATTTGGAGAAAGTGATTGAAAAAAAGTAGCAGAGATCAAGCTCTTATCTTTATGACAAGGATTACAATTAGCCATTATATATGTTGTTAAATTTCAAAACCTTGCTTGTGACATGGATTGGAATGATAAAGCTCTAACAACATCATAGATCTGTTATTGATAATATCAAAAATAGAATATTTGAAATAATTTATTATTCAAGGCATTACATGTCATAACTAATTATTTGAAAGGCATTAAAAATAAATATTTAATTGAAGAAAAATAAGTCAAGTAATGATGTCAATTCATAAGTTTACTAAAACTTATTCATCAAAGCCAAAACTAATACAAATTGATATAATATATTTTAAATCTTTTATTGAGCAAAAAAAGACTTGACGCCGCTAAGAAGATTTGTACCTATATTGTAGAGAACCCAAGCATACTATTCAACATTTTTCAAAGAAACAATGCAATCACAAAATGAAGAGTATGGTTGCAAAATAAGACAATATATCAAAAATTGATTTTTTCCAACTACAATAGTGATTTTGCAGTTGAAATCTTACTCAATTCCTAATAAAGGTCTTATTCTCTCCTCAAATCTTTCACCTTGTTTTACAATAAAAGTTTGATTAAGATAAAAAAAACCACAAAATATTAGTCTTTTTAGATTCAAGAATCTCAATTTGTTTTATAGATAAAGACTTTTTCAAAAATAAGATATATTTTTAATTAAAAAAATCAAACATATGCATGAAGAAGTAATAGATAGTCGTTTACTGTCTTCTAAGAGATGTTACACATAAAACTATTCTTGTAGAAGTAGCAACTAGTAGTCATAATAGTTTAGTAATACTTGATGTGATTAGATTTCTTTTTAATGCAATTATTTTAAGATTATCGTGGTTAAAAAGATATAATCGTTAGATAGACCGATTTTCTTGAAATCTTGATTTTTTTTGTAGTTTAGCCTAATAATTTGCTAGACAAGTGGAAATCCATAAGATCAATATATCCAAACCATTATTGGTAGGTGTAAGAACCTTCATGCATGCTGTAAAAAAAGAGTCAACTTTTGTTGTATATGCTATACTTATTATTGATAGAAAAAAAGATATGAAGTGGCATTTCAAGCCAATACCAAGATTATCAAAACATCTTTGAAAAAAAAATATAAATATTCTTTTAAAGCATTGTCCTTATGATTGTTCCATCAACCTTCAAGAAGGAGCTCAACCACCATTTGGACCAATCCATAGCCTATCATAGAACAAATTAGCTGCACTCAAAGAATATATTGATGAAAATTTTGCTAAGAACTTCATATGCCATTCTAAATCTCCAATTGGAGCTCTTATCTTATTTGTAAAGCAAAAAGATAGATCTCTATGGATGTGTGTGGACTATCAAAGACTCAATAAAATCACCATCAAGAATAAGTATCTCTAATCTTTGATTTCAAGACTTCTTAATCAACTAAATTAAACAAAGATCTATACAAAAATAGATCTATGAGGAGCATATAACTTGGTGTGCATCAAAGAAGGAGATGAATGGATGACTACTTTTTGAACTAAGTATGGATATTTTAAATATAATGTCATACCTTTTGGACTTACAAAGACATGAGCTTCATTCCAATATATCATTCATAACATTTTTTACAATTTTTTTTGATGATTTTTTCGTTTGTTATTTAGATGACATTCTAATCTACTCTAAGAACACATAAGAACATTAATTCCATGTTTCTTGTGTGTTATAAAAATTTAGAGATATAAGATTGTATTCCAAGATAAAAAAGTATTTATTCCATACTATTCAAGTTGACTTCTTAGAATACATCATTTTCAACAAAAGGCTCATGATGGATCCAAAAAAAATCCAAACTATCATAGATTGGAAGATTCCAAAAACAGTCAAAGATGTGGAATGTTTTTTGAGATTTGTCAATAATTATAAGATCTTCATCAAATATTATTTTCAAATTGTAGTTCTTTTTATATACATCATATGTAAAGTTAAACTTGAATAGAGTAAAGAAGCTAAAGTATCTTTTGAAGCCTTGAAGATAATATTTATTTCTACACCAATTTTATATTACATCAATTTTTCTAAGGCATTTTTTATGAAAAAAAAAATGCATCAAACTTTGCTATAGGTGCTGTTTTGTGATAATTGGAAGTACATGGGAAGCTCCATCTGATAGCTTTTGATTCCAAGAAATTTTCAATAGCCAAAATTAACTATGAGATCTATAACAAAGAACTTTTTGCAAACATGGATTTATTTCAAGAATGATATTATTATCTAAAAGATGCTTTTAGTCTAGCCATTGTGTATGTAGATTACAAGAATTTCAAGTATTTCATATCAATTCATATTTTGAATCATTGCCAAGCTCATTGGATTATGTATTTATCAAGATTTTATTTGAAGATTACTTATTGATCCAAGAAACAACAAGGTTTGTTAGACACATTTTTTAGACATCCTTATCTTATACCAAAAGAAAAAGATAGAACTTTTGATCAATAAAAAATGATTCTTTTGAAGCTAAAGCATTTCTATCTTCAAATAATAAAATTAACATTAATTATTGATTCAATCTTTATCAAGCAAATTCAATTAAGTATGTCTTTTGATCTTCTTGTTCATGATATCAAAAATAATTCTTTTAAGTCTTATAATACTTCTAAGTTTGAATTAAAAAATAATCTATTTTATTATAAGAAATAATTATATATTATAAAAGGCAAAATACGATTACATATTCTTCAAGCTTGTCATGACTTTTTGGCAACTTGATATTTTGGATACAACAAGACTTTGAAGCTAATATTTAGAGATTTTTAGTGGCTTCAAATGTGAAAGGCAATTAAAGACTTTGTACAATCATGTAATATTTTTTCAAGGTCAAAAACTCCTCGCCATCAACCTTATAGACTTCTTCAGCCATTACTTATTCTAAAATAATCATAATCTTTTTTTTCTATTGATTTTATTACAAATCTTCTAGTTTTAAGTTTGTATGATTTTATATTCATAATAGTAGCTTGTTTCATTAAGATGGCATATTTTATATCATATATAAAATGTATCAAAGATGAAGAAATGGTTAAGTTTTTTCTTGATAACATCTATTGCTGTCACAAATATATATTTATTATAATTATAATTTAAATAATATAAATAGTTAGAAATAAGTAAAAATAAATTAATTTTATAATATCTTCTATAGAAGCTTCTTAAAAGCTTTATAGATATTATTTTAATTTTACATGTATTTGTAATTGATTAGTAGATTAAAAACTTGATTAATAAATTAATTATATATTATATATATTGGTAGCTTGCAGAACAAGCTAATTATATGGCATCTATATTGAAAACTTACTTTACAAGTTAAAATACATGTTGTGTAAAATCAACATATTTTAAAGGTCCTACAGGATGTTACTATGTAGCTTTTAAGTAAATAATATATATAGAGGCAAGAATGAAGCCTTCTTTACTCTTATCATTTTTTTTTTTTTTTTTTTTTTTTTTTTTTTTTTTTTTTTTTTAAATCTTTTATCTTTTACTAATAGCCATTCCAATTTTCTTTTCATAAATATACTTCTTTGTTTTTATTTTTTCATACTTCTTTGAAAAAGTCTCACTTTTTTATTTACTTTCATCTAGTACTTATCTTTGATAGATTGACAAGAATATACTTATAATATTAGAGCTTTGTCTTTTTTTTGATAAAGAGTTGATTATCCCTTCTTCCTAATGAGACATAAGCATATTAGAAGTAGAAAATTAACTTCTTGTAAAATTGATATTTTTTTTTATTATTTTTTTTGTTCTCAATTTCTTTCTTTTATTTGTCTTAAGCAATATTAGATATTTTGTTTCTTCTTAAACTTATTATAATAGATCTTGTCAAAATGAAGAGTGTAATGGCATAAATGCAAGAATGATTGAGAGAATTAATACTTACAATACATCAATTCAATTTACTACCACAAAAAAAATAAGAATGATAAAAAATAAAGATATATAGATGATTGGAGCTGTTGTAACATGTGCACCAATCATATTCCTTCTTCCATGGTTGAATACCATTTAAGAACTAGAAAACCAAGAATTATCTTATTTGAGAAGTTTGATGGTATAAGATCAAAGTTTTGAAGATTCATCATTTAAATACAATTGACAATTGTAATGTGATTCCACAGCTAGCTCTAAGATCACAAACAAGGAATATTATTTTTTGATTCTATGTTATTATGGTTTTTATATTTTTTTTCAATAACATGATTCAATATTGGATAATTTAAAAAAACATTTAGCAAATTTTTGATCTATGTATAGAGAATATAATGTAGTTTACATTGGAACAAACAAGATCCATATTTTATGACAAAAAAATCAATTTGTAACATTGTATATTTTATAATTTTGACAACTTGCAATTGATATCAAATATGTTGAGATCATTAAATGTAGCCGGCGCTCTCCATAATATTTACTGTAGACTACAAGAAATACCATAGCTATAGTATTTAGAGTCTAATGAAGAAGTACTGTTTATCTTCTCCTCTTTTCTCTTCTTGTATAAAAGACACAACCAGATCAATAGATTTTTGGGTGTGAAGCTCTCTCTCTTTAAAAACCCTCTTATGTATATGACTTACTACTACTCTTGTGTGTGTGTATGACTTACTACTACTCTTGTGTGTGTGTATGACTTACTATTACTCTTGTATCTTTCTAAAAATTTTCAACAAAATAAGATAATATTGCACTCATTAGCCAATTTTTTTATGGATTACAATATGAGGTAAAGAAGTTGATACTCAGTTTATTTGATCGTCAAAAATTGAGTCAAGTAATTGATTTTCTTGTGAAGTGTAAGAATTGACTTTTAGAATTTTGGTCTAAAAATTGCATGTATAGGCCACAATGTTATTACAATTCAATATAATAATATTCATTTTAATATATATAAAGGATTGTTAAAGCCATATCTTTTAAACCATGTAATGATTAATTTTGGAATTAAGAAATAAAAGATGGAAATAAAAAATAAGATAAGAAAATTGATAACATGGAATAATACACAAAGATGGATAGAATTGATTATGAGATGATTACATGGGATGTGGTTTCAACAACATTGGAATCTAGCTATAACAACTCTTTACTTTTATATATATATATTTTTCTATATATATATACACACATACAATATATTACATATATCTATATTTATTTTCATGTATATACATATATATATATATATATATATATATATATATAATATCTACTACAATTATTAACCTATTAGAAAAAAAATACATAGATCCTAGACTATAAATTCATAATTATTTAAAGTTATTAAGGTATTTATTGAATTGTGTGTATACTTTGATAGATAGATATATTGGCATGTATATAAATCTATCTTTATTGATGATGATCAAGCCCCAAAAAAATGTCAAAATTTTTATATCTGATTTTTTGAATTTTTGAATTTTTAGTGTACTCAGTATCAAAGAAAAAAAAGAAAAAAGAAAAATACCAAGAATAATAATAACTATAAGAAAGATAATAATTGAAAACAAAATCATACAAATAGATCTTAGGCAATTTAAAACTATCAAGTATATATTGTTTTACAAATTTACGACATGTATGCACTTTCATGATAAGGTATTGTAACAAACATTAACAAAACATTTTTTACACTTCGACTCAATATTTTGCCAAATATATAATGGCATTTAGTAGTCAACTTGTTGATCCTTGTTTCATTGGGTTTGCTGCCTGTACAAAGAGAACATCAGAGTCAGAGAAACGAGGCACTAAGTCTTTAATAAACATAAATAAATGACCTTAAAATCCTTCTAATGAGCAAATCAGCGGTCGAAGGTGCAAGATATGACAGGGTTAGTTCCTTCAAATATATAACTGTCCGTTCATAAGTTCAAGAGAATTTCACCAGTTCTTTTCTTGTTACATCAGTGAGATGATAAAGGTTGCCCCGCCTTTGGAATTCAAGTGGCATGTTTTGTCTGCAAAATAGGGAGAATAAGAATCAGTCAGAAAAAGCTGTGATTCAAAACATAAACAAAAGAAGTGCTGAACTAATGCAACGCTGACGACAGTGGACAACTGTGTCCGGAGTGGGTGCCAAGGTGCGAGACCTGAGCAGTTAGATAAGGCCCCATGCAAATTATTATGTTCCGAAGAATGCCATGATTTAATGTCAGAATAATTTTCCATTCTAAGGTGGTGTATCATAGTTTAAATCACTTATAAGATGCTTGTAGTTGGACGAAGAACAGATCCCACCTTCTTGTGTCAAGTTCAGAATAATCAATGTCTGCAAAGATGGTGGCTTCCTCATGCTCGGTTGTAGCTAAAATTTCGCCAAACTGTTTAGTACATAGCCAACCAAAATATACATCAGCAACCTTCTGGTGCCCACAGATTGCTACAAAAACTTAGTGCGTGATTCTTCGAATACAAAATGCAAGAACTCCGATTACTATATAGGCTGATCCTACATAGAATGTAGTTTAAAACAGCAAAAAGACTTGATGAACCGGCATGTATGACTTTCAATTTGACAAAAGTCAAAGCAAAAAATAAAAAATCTGCTAAATTATGTCAAGGGAGGAGAAAAGACTCACAGGACCGACAACAGTGGAATGACCCCACGCAGTATAATCAGCGCTTGGAATTCGGGCTTGTGAACAAGTCACAACAAATATCTGTAGCAGCCATTGCCAATACTAACCATGTGATCAAACCAAAAACTAAAAGCCAAAGCTTTCTCAGAATTAATAAATACTTCTGTTGCTCTCAAAATCTGAATGCATTAAGTATCCCGAACCTATTTGGGAATGTATCTCTTGATCTCTTGACCTTTTACTCTTAAATTTGATGATTAATGGAAAGGAATAAGCATAAATAGAGCACAGAAATGTACCTGGTTGTCTACAGCTCTGAACACGGAAAATTCATCGTCCCGACGCACCAGCAAATATAATACACGTTAAATTTCAGCTACTACAAATTCAGACGAGAGTGGTATCTACATATGGAGACGAATAAGGTGTTTAAAAAAGGCAGTTGGAAGTTGACAGACAACCTGGCTTTCTGCAGCAGTTCCCAATGGAGAGGACCAGTGACCATATTGAAGGCCCCTGGATAGCATATAATATGTGCCCCTATACATCCAGCAACGCAATGAAGGAACCTGAGATTGTAATAAATTGCCAAGGGATTCTGTGTGTGCGCATGGTTATAAAGTTATGACTGCTGAAAGAACAGGAAAGTAAGAATGGGCTACCACGACTAGCATACAACATAGCCATCTCAGGGAAGCGAATATCATAGCAAATTCCAACTGCGACTCGCCCAACATCTGCACGCATTAACACGTGAGTAGAGTGAAATACTCCCCAACATATTAAAGTATTAATATCTCCTAACACACAGCAATTCCTCAAAAACAAGAAGAATAAAAAAGATTTTCTCTGCAGACATCAGCTGGTACAGATACTCACCCAAGTCAACAACACAGAGTCCTTCTCCAGGAGTTAGTGTATCAGACTCTCTGAATGTGATCTTTCTTGGTATATCAATGTCAAATAGATGTACCTGACCAGAGCAAATAGTATTAATCAACTTGTTTCATCTGCCCCAGCTTCAGGCATCGCAGGTACAAGAATGACTGAGCAGGGTTATCCGAGCTCATTGAAGACCAATATTATTGTCCTGATTTCTCTGTATAAATGTCTTGCGCTCATTTGAGTGCACAGAGTGAGGTAAGCATGGGTGTCCAGTACCTTGCGGAACTTGGCTTTCAGATCACCATTTCTGTCAAAGACGCAACAAGTATTATATAAGTTACCACCACTTCGCTCAGGTATAGATCCACCCACGATGGTGACCTTCTTCTTCCTTGCAACATCAGCCAGCATGGCCAAAGATGGAGATACTTCAAGTCCAGCATCAATTTCTTCTGCATATATTGGGAAGCTTTCATGCGAGATTGGACAGTTCCACATTTCCTAAAAAACAACAGGCACAGAAATTAACCAGGTTAGGTGCTGGCATTACAAGGAGACAGAATTATCTGTGCTGGTACTTGCAGCGCACTTGCCAGCCACGCGATCCAGACTTACAGAAGCGAAAGCAAACTGCTATCACATAAAATAACATCTTTCTCTTTGCCGCACCCACACTCTTTTTTGATTTTATTGAGTCACATTTTAACCAAATACAGTTAACAAACGCGTTACATCAGCGGAATCTATGTTAACGAATGTGTTGAAAAGACCTATCTCTACACACAAGTATTAGATGTTTCCAATTTTCTATGCATAGAGCTGAAAACGCCCACTTTCTACATTCCGAAGTACATCCTGACAATTGGGACAGTAAAGGTCACATAGTTGAATTCCAGATCTACAGCGCTCTGATTCAACATTTCAAATCATACAGAATCCTCATATTGAGTTATCCAAGGGTGAAGGGCTCACAGGAAGAACAATGAGCTGAGCCCCCTTATCAGCAGCAGCCTCGATCCTGTCACGTGCATTGGCTATGTTTGTCTCCTTGTCAGACGTAACACAAAGTTGGCATACTGCAATTTTGTACTGCGAACATTACCATAGCTTAGCTTATATGACTTTTTATGCATGGCCAGCACGTAAATGTACACATGCATGCATTGCCTGAAGGGTCTAGGTTGCACATTGTCTACTTAAGCTTAAAGACTGCAGAATAAGGTGCTAATTTGCAGGAAATATGAGTCACTGATAGACATTAGATGAAAATCAGAAGTGCATTTTAATAGCCACCTTTCCAGATGAGCAGCACAAACCTTTCCACCATTTGGAGCTTTGGGGGGAGGCTCCGAATGAGGTCGTCGTGCCCACTGAGATTGGAAATCAGACGCCATGGCTGCAGTAATGACTTTGTAAGATCTACTTGAAAGTAAAGACCGAGACAAGGGACCGGTTGGATGACAAAGGAATCCAAAACGGGAATAGGCCAAAGCTTGTTTCGAATATACAAGTGGATCTGGATTGCAAACAAAAGATCTAGCAGCACCCGGTTGAACTTGGTGAAAAGAACAGGGTCGTAGACAGCATGTGAGGCGTCGTAAGTTGCCAATCCGTCGTACACTCATTTTATTGTCTGCATCACAATCCGCACCGCGTCCCCTGAACAACCACCGCCCAAATCTACACTCTATCAAAGAAGCGTGAGGAATGTTCCAGGTAGCACATGACCTCCATTACTGAGGATTCTAAGTGACTCTGCATGCTACCTGATATATTTTCAACAATATTCACCTCTCTAATCCCCCCTCTGAAGAAATTTCCTCTCTAGCCGATCAAAGAGCTTACTACCTCTTTCCCCAAAGAGACCTTTCCAATTTCGTCAAATACCCACATCCACGCACACAACCCCGTGGTATCTTGCACCGCAGTGGCTAAAACCCACGGAACTGCATTACGTTTCTCAGGCCAAACACGAAACGAGTTGCAATTCGCAGCTGGCCCCTCGTCTTAAGGTGCAAAACGAGCCGCATACTCCATAACCACAACCAAGTTGACTGTACAAGACAAACCTACAGAATTTCATAGAACAAGGAAAAACACCACCTCCATTGCACTGGAACACATATCACGACTTTGCACGAAGTTCTAAACACAACCCACAATTGAAAATCCCCCTAACCAACAACAAACATGCATCACGATCAAATTGAAACACCCCACATAAGAGCCAGGTGGATGGAAAAACAAAAGAACGAAAGAACTGAACAAAAGATAACGGAGAAGCGTGTACCCATAGAAGCACAGCACTCAGAGCTCGGAATTGGCATCCGTTTGCAGCAAGCACAGGGATTACAGATGCTGCGGTGCTGGTCATGCTCCTCATGATTGTGTGTGTGTGTGTGTATGTGTGGGTGCCGAGCTTGGTTGGAGCTGACGTTCAAAGATTCATCTACATTCCATACATTGGATGTTGGTGTCGGTGCAATCCATGCCACACAGTTTCGGTGCTCTCTTTGCATCCTCTTTCAATCCAAGTTTTGATGCTCATTTCTGCACCTATTCTGCACTCTTCATTGAACACCGTGTTGAAGGAACTTTGTCGACTTTTCTTGCATATTTCATTTGAAGGTTCTTTTTCAACAAATCATAAGATTAAATGATGCTTGTAAAACTTAGTATTCACTCATTCTATGTTTTTATTTGCTCGTGTTTGTTTTCTTTACGCTTCACAGTGCCACATTTATGTTTAAATTCAGCTGTTTTACATAACAGTTTACAATGGGTAGTAATAAATGCTGGTATGTAATAATAATAAAAAATATCAATGATAATTTGAATGATATTCGGTGCTTTCACCCTGTACGAATTGAAGATCTAGTGTGTATTTCCAAAGCACTATTCATCCAATACCGAAGAATGCATTTGTCCACAACCTATGAATGTATTGAATCTATATCCACCACGAAAATTCATTCATCTGGAGCTGCTTTGCATTCTACGGCTCGAGGTAGAAGCCAGCACACGGGGACTCCAGTTGCCCACATCAGGCTGCGGAATTTGCAAAATTGGAGCTGAATTTGGGCCACACTTGTGCAGATTCGTGCATAGCTCGAGGTCTGCGAGCATCGTTGGCGATGGCAATGGTGCTCGTACGAAGCGCGGGGCAGTTACTAAGCGTTCACCCCGGTATTACAAGAGCTGGACCGCACCGCGCCAGGATCGCACCTGTTTGCGTGGGTCGCTTCTCCACTTCGCAGGCGTCACCCCAGCGGACGATTTCGACGTCTTTCTCTGCTGCTTTGATCCCTTCCACATTTCAAAGCTTGCAACGCTTGCCACTGAGGGAGGGTGACATGGAGAGATTCTTTTGTAGGGCTCAGAAACAGGGGAGCGAGTTGCAAGAAGCTGCGACTCCTATCTCTGAGGATTCCCCAGGTGAGGAGTGTACACCCCAATTCCCAATTCCCTCTGCGAAGCTTTCTCAAAGTGTGTTTTAGTTGTGGACGACAGATGACTTTTCATGTTGGGAGATTTTGAGATGGGGGAGGATTCGATGGTACTGACGTGGTAATAAGGGGTGAGGCATTCTGCAAGATTGGCCGAAATTGGCTTTATATTTGTTTGCTCTGGGTTTCTTGCTCGGCCCGCCACTGGATGGCATCCACTCGCGCGTGCAGCTGCAAATTTATGATGTTGGAGCAATCGACATTGTTGGTCTTCATACCAATATTTGGGTCAGTGGATTCTACTTCTCTATTGCCGGCAGAGAGATGCTTACTGAATGGAGAAGGGGGACGATGGGTTTGGCAGCTCGTGAAAAGCAAAGCTTCTCGATGTTTGAGAACTGCAATATGCACTTCGGAGTGAAAGAAATCGTGTACTATTACGCTGTTGAGGAAGAGTCCTTTGATACGCTTCTGATATGCTTTTCATGTGGACTAATTTGGTGTCAGGTGTTCCCGATGCTCGGCGTCTTCTACAGCGTTGTGGGAGTTTTGCAGCTTGTTCTTGACAAATATTTCGCACGGAAAGGAAATTTGCCAACTGCAGACCTGCAGAAAGTGGTGTTCTCCTTTATGTATGTCGTGGCAGTCAGGATTTTTTGGTTACTTGCATTACGACCATTGCTTTAGCTTCTGTCATATTTGAAATCCGTCCATTGCTGCATAATTCTCGATTTGATAACTCATAAACGGACACGTTAACATATCCAAGATTCTTGTAATTTCTATGCAGAACATTGGCGACCTTGTTGGAGGTTAGCGCGGAGCTCTACAAAGGGGGCGTACCTTTTAACGTTGAGGCCTACACACTCTTTGCATTGGCAGAGGCCAATTGGCTCCTCTTTGACAACACGTGGTGGGGTTTCGGGCTTGCCACGCTGGTTGGCATTGCATGCCCCCTTGCAGAAATCCCCATTAACAAGTAAGCATTTCATTTCTCAACCAAATATTGTAGGCCTAGATAATATTTCTTTGAAGTAGGATCAAATTTTAAATACACTGATTTTGTGAATGTGAGTATTGTACAGGCTATTCGGTCTTTGGCATTACCCCAAAGGCAACATCGAGATTTTTGGTGAGGTAAAGTAACTTTTCACAATACCGCAGTTGCACAATTTGTTCTGCATTTTGGACCTCTTTGTTCTTTTCCCTGGTGATACTTCTGACTACTGGCTGCTGATGATTAAATGGCTTTGGCGTTCGTGCAGAGCACGGTGACATGGGTTCTTGCATGCTACTTCTTTTACACACCGTTCATCTCCAATCTTGCCCGGTACCTTTCCACAGTTGTGCGCACTCCGTCGTCGCAAAATCGTCTCGACTAGAGGATGTAGCACTTGATGTAGACTAGCAACAGTGTCAAACATATTTCGCTGCTGTGCATGTGTTTATCAGACTATAATGTATGCAATACACAATCCTCACATTCCTCATGAAAGTGACATGATTGTGTACGCGACTTAGCCTCGTTCTGATAGACAAGGGCAAAATCTTAGAAGCACAGCAGATATGATTCGGTGCAACCCAATTATCGGATAACATGAAAAATTAGTGGATTACTGAGAAATCTTAGGCCAGTAACATGGTTTAGAAAATGCCGAGTAACCAACAAGTATCTGAGATGAAGACCTACAGTCAACAAAATGCGACAATAGCCTTGATTACACGAAAGATTCCTTCAAAAATCCATCATCTGGACACGAAATTTCCTGTTTGTTATCCCGGTACATGTCTTCAGCCTTTATCACACCCTGAAAAACGCAGGATATGGATCAAAGTCAGGTGTACCCATGAAATACAAGCTTACAGAGGAGCGATATCACCAAGAAAAAACTACCATTCATCTACACTTCTTATATTTTCTAAATTTGGTATGCTACAACGATTAACTGCTGCACATGAGTTTAATTAAACTAAGCTGATAGCGATTGGTAAATCTCACGCGATTCAAATTTAATGTAATGATTATGGGACATACACGTGCTTCAAATATGGCAACGACTAAAAAAGTGAATCAAATGCTTAACATTCCATGCTGAGGATTATCCAGATTACATTTACATCCACAATATAAATCATACTGGTAAAATATTTTTGAAATGACAAAGTCACCATTTTTTCCTAGTTTCAAAATTGCATCTTCAATAAGCAGAAAGGGAACGAATATTACCTGCAGGATTACTATGGCAGCACGCTTATTTACAACTTCGTTGTATTCACTGCATGAATATACTTGGATACAGGCCGGACATCCAGTACTTGTGGTACACTCGCAAGCAATTAGGAGCTCCAGAGCTGCTTGCAGTAGCTCAGCAAACATGGGACGTACCTATGCAGCAAGTCAGGATAGATGGAACAGTCAGGATAGTTCCATTGTCACCTCAAGACAGCAAAAGAGATGACGGGACAGAAAACTTTCAAAATTCTAGAGCCACAGGTATTCACTTGAGCGGCAATGCCAATGCCTCCAGGGTGCTTGTCAAACAGAAGAAGCCTTTCAGGGTAATAGCGTGTATCGTTAGGATTAGCACAATCACAGCCCAAGTCTTGTGGATTGCACATGATGTACCTGACACACAACAGGGAGTGCTCATGAATCCGTCATCAACTTTAAAGTAGATTTGGAAGGCTTGGAAGCAATGCATAATAACGGTCATACACAATGCGAGCTAAAGCCCTCACGCATTACATACTAAAAGTCGAATCGGATGAATAATGCTATCAAAAACATTAAACACGACTAAGAGGTTTGAAAGCTCTTGAGTAAAAGTTGAAGTAAGTAATATAAATACAAGGGTATAATGTTGAGAAGTGCGTGAGACGCAGCATGTATGCCCTCACGCAAAGAAAGTCCTTCCGCCTCCAGATCTCCCCTAACTAGATGTGGCACTCGAATCCAAGCAGCCTGTGTCATAAGGAAGTTTTTCAGCAGGTCACGTTGGCAGAGAGTAGCTTTCATTGGTCATGACATTGTAATCTTTTTACCAGAGTATTGAACAAATGATTCATTTACTTCAGATCCTATAAAATCATAACAGGAGCTTATTTTATATTATCTCATCTGGAAGCCGAACCTGTGACTCATATGACACTTCTGGTAAAAAGAGGTCAACTGTATCAAAAGTCACGTTGGTTCTTTGCCAAATTCGGCGAAACCCAAACCATTTTGTCGTGATTTTGCAGGGACTAGCCTGGGCTGTGGTTATCGGGTATTTCCCTTTAACCACTTTAGCCGGATATGCCTGCACAAAGCGACATATACAGGGACACTTCAGCATTAGTATGCTTGCACATCACAAAATATTGTCATGAGGATATGCGACTTTACCAAAGGAAAGACCAGAAATTGTTTAAGTGCACTAGTGGAATGATGAAATCACGCACCAGCTCACCACCTAACACGTGTACGTCTGTGAAGTCCCTGGTCTTTGTATAGTATTTAAGATCTGCTTCGGTGCACAAAGCGACTTTCGCAGCAGTATCTAGCTTTGTGCACAAGAATGTTTTGCCCTGATGCATGTAGACGGCACCTTCATACACCTGCAAGATTAAGGAAGAGAGTCAAGACTGTACCGTTGCATAGGGCCGGGAGTTCAGCTCCGCCTGCAACTGAACTCAAAACATAATATATTTTTGCGAGAAGCAAAAATTGCATTTACATTGGACTGACAATCACCTCAAAGAACGCCTTGTTTTCTTCCACCTCTTCAATCACTTCGTTTGTGGTTTGATTGATGACCGTGTACTTTTCAGTACATATAGCCCTGATGCTTACACCCTGAGATGGCGATTTCTGTCGGTTCACGCTGCTATCATTAGCTTTTGGTTCAACTTTTCAACAGAAAATTATTGTCCCACAAGTGTAACTTTAGGGCTATAACTCAAATTGCAAGAATTGTACATGAGGTTTCTACCTCGTGTCCAATGTAGTGCCATGAACTGTCTTGTGGACCGTTAGTTGGGTGGCGTCCCAATAAGCCTTCATTCACCAGCTTCATTATACCAGATTGCGTACCAGAGCCTAAGAATATTTTATCATGTTCGATGTGAATTGGGTACTCCACAGCAGCACACATCAAGTGCTGCTCCAGTACCTGCAAATTTAACATTCGTTACAAAAAAAAATCCCGTAGGTGGTATAACACAATCAAACTTGCCAAAGAATTAGAATTTGAGAAAATAATAACCTGTCGATTACTGGCATCCACTTGCGCATTCTCAATAGGTTCATTGAACAGTTTTTGAGGTGCTTTCATAAAGTGTTGATCAAGTGGTCCGCTGAATGCAACATACACAGAAAGTGAAGCTTTCTCTCTCCTACCAGCACGCCCTGATTGCTGCCACAAGCTATTGCAATGACCAATTAATCTTGAGATTCACTTAGTGCATTAGGAACGCAAAACCAAATGAAAGACAGTCGATGTCAGGCAGTATAATATCGCTGAATAGTTCAATCAGCAGACTCAGCGAAAGAGAAAAATAAAACATTTGATTAAAAATTAAAGAGCAGCTCAGAACTGAGACAACCGCCTCGTGGACTGAACACCAATTAATTGTCTCAAATGGAACTAGCAGTCATGGCCTAGTGATGACAGCAGAAATTTGATTACCTTGCCACAGATCCAGGGAAACCCAAATGTAGTGTAGCATCCAAGCTACCAATGTCAATCCCCAACTCCAATGAGTTAGTAGCAGCTACTCCGCGCAGCCGACCACCAAACAGGTCTTTCTCAATTTCTCGTCGGGACTGTACCAATACACCAGTTACTTGATAACATGGAACTGTTCCTATCGCTCTATCGACAACAAAGAGCAGTAAAAGTTTATACAGATGCCTAATCAAGCAGGGTACAAGATTACAGTTTCAACTTTGCAAAATTAACCTCCGCAGTGTAGCCTGCTCTGTATGCTCGAATAGTATCTACCAATGTTGGAGCTGTTTCTTTTAAAATCTCTCGTCTGTAGTGAACAATCAATATTTAGACGAGTCAGACGAGCCCTAAAACAAAGTTTGAGGGCAACACAAGAGAACTATGGAGGGATAAAACTCATAGACATGCTCAAACCAAGAATACTATCAAGGTAAGTGCAGGATGCACGATATGCAGTCTTATGGTTTACATGGTGTTAAACCAGGTGGAAATTTTCTAATTTCGAGGTTCATGTTGAGAAAGAGGAGCTTACGTATGATTGTGGACCAACTCGACCGACTTGCGAGTGTTGCAAAAAGCAATGCAGCGAAGCCCATGCTGGACCATTTCTGCTAGTAGTGATGACACCTCCACTAAGGGGCTGCATACTCATTGACCAAGACAGAAGGTGCACATGAGGAATGAGGTCATAGCCGATACAACACCATCGTTGTGGGATTCACTTCGAAGGCTACAGATCACGCTAAGGAACCTGAGGATGATAATCTATCTCACTCCGCTAAGAATGTAATCAGCACTAAGACAACAGACCTGGCACGCCTGGTTTGAGCATGTGGAATAACACCTCGATCCAACTTAGCTGAAGGCTTGTGTCTTTTGTTCTTACGATCTGCGTAAGGCTACAATACAACAAATGAATTGAACCCTTTCCCAGAAAGTAACGACACACTTCAGAACCAATCAGAAAATGGTAGAATAACAAGCTCAAACCAATTTCATAATATCATCAACGTGCGCAACCTCGAAATTACTTCTCTACGTAGAACAAGATGGACTCCTGCATTTGAATATGAACAGAAAAACAAAAGGAACGCCTTGATGACTCAAAGCAGAGGCGCCCAACAGGAGACTCCATTCTTTAAATAGTTATTTAATCCACAGCACATTGATGGGTTGAGTATCTGTTTAGTCGATCTTCAAAAATCTCTCGTGAACAAGGAGAGAGATTTGAAATTTGAACTGGGTTACTTGTCCATAGGAAGCCTATTGATACTGCTTAATCTACTGAAGATCGAAGTGATATTAATGTTTCATTTTTTTATTGTTAACATGTTCGAAGAACTAAACTTAAAAGCAGGAGCAAAAGAGAAGAACCGAATTTTCCACAGTCGCAAATAATAATCGTTCTTGACGGGGGATTCAAAATGCTTACTGGCATGAAAACAATCGGCGGATTCCAGAAAACAAATGTCTTTTCTCCATGAGGGCTACCATCACCTTGGATGACATCCACCTCGCGGAGCCCCACCAGTTCCTGTCGCCACACAAACAGGTTGTCTTCTTCAAAGAACCGTTGCATGGAAAATACTTGATTGGTTCCTTCAAGCATTGGCCAGGCACAAATTTTAACTGTCATTGTGCAAGAAGGTTTTCTCTTGGGAACTACACGCATTTAGCCGAAGAAAAGAAGGTGAGCAATGAAAATACCATAGCATGCTCACGCGGATTAGCGACAGTAGCACTGCAGACTATGAAGTTGGGCTCGGCTCCATACACTGCAAACAATGAACCATTATCAACCTTCAGCTTATCTGCGCTTGCATGATGAGAATGCATTTTGGAACTGATCGATGAAAACAAGAACGTACAATGATGTAACAGGCGACGTAGGCGTCTCAATATGAGAGCAGTGTGGCAGCCAAATACTCCACGGTATGCATGCGCCTCATCCACCACCACAAACCTGAAAATGAGTACAATTTTGTAACACCGCACTTGACACGATAATCAAAGATATCGACAAGTCTTGATGTATAAAGACTACATTCTTCTCTTACAAAGCCAGTAGTGAGTCCGACGTAATAACAAACAAAGGATAACATGAAAGATTATTTACATTGTCATTTATGTATTATTCTTCTACAATAACAAGGAAGGAGTAAAACAAATTTAAAAACACACAAACAAGTTAGCCATAGCAGTATCCATGTCACAGCGTTAACGACTTGTTGCTGAGAAAGGTGTGAAGGAATAAGCATACTTTAGATTAGAGAGAAACCGCTCGAATTGGCGATGACATGGCATGATGGAAACGTGTAACATATCTGGATTTGTAATGAGCTGCACAAAGCAAGACCAAGGAATTTAGTGAGCAGTTTTGATGTAGTCAAAATGTACCTGTTCAGCTCATACTGATTCAGGGTTTCCAAGCATCTGAGGTCATAGGTCACTCTAATACATGCACAGACTACAAGAGTACCATACCAAACGAGCCGAATCTCGCAACCTCAGACGGAGATCATGATTGGTATCTCCATCGTATACTCCTAACCCAATTGAGCTGCCTTTTTCCCCGAATAACTCACGTAGTGCTCGCAGTTGATCTTGAGCTAAAGCCTGAGAACTCAAGTATAACACCCCGCATGTCTCTTATCAACCATTTTGGAGCTCAAATTCATAATCACAAACTCAAAACGATGCAGTATAAACTTATCACTCAGGGCCATAATAAATTGAAAAATGTTGCACATTACCGCCAACGCAAAATTTATAAGAATGTAAACCCCGCGTTGGAAGTGCTATACCTTAGTAGGAAACAAGTAAAGAGCACAAGCATTTGGATTGTTCGTAAGCTCCTCTAAGACTGGTACATTGTAGCACAGTGACTTGCCACTTGCAGTTGACGTGGCCACAACAATATTCCTCCCATTCCTCACAGCATTTACTCCATGAGCCTGCATAACGTTGATCGCTGAACATTCAGCAAAGTGGACGCAAGGAACATGCACACGAAGCATTTCTTGTAGAAACTCTTACAGCAGCCTCCTCACCTGATGCGTATACAGTTCGGTAATACCCATTCGCCCAAGTGCTTCCTCGGTGAACTGAGACAGCTCTATTTCAAGCTCCCCATAAGATGCTGCACGTGCTTTTAATTTTTCGCAGTGGACAATCTGAAAATCCAAGTCCAATAGAACAAATTCACTCAAGCATTTCCAGTTTCCAAAAGCTGAGGTTTTCCATAGGACTAAATGTGCATTCAATGTTTAGCATAGCATAATATATATACAAACAGGAAGATCAACAGTTTCACATCAAACACCTTGAAGAATTTACAAACAGCGAAAGGAACAGGCTGAGCCTCTGAGATCAAATACGTTCACAATTATTAAAGGTCACATTATAATAAGCTTTATGTCAAAGATGAGTGCACCTGCCCAAGAGAACCAAGCTTATCTTTCAGATGACGTAGCATCTCTTCCGCATTCATATCAGAGATATCCTGTGGTTGTTAACAGCCAAGGATAAAAACGCTCAGTACCCCAGAAACACACGTTGCAAGTTCACAAAGATCACACAATAATCGCCAAGAATCTGATAGGGATACGCTTAATAATTAAGACTATCATGTAGACATAACTTAAACAAATAAAATCACTTCGTCTTCAGCTGACGCAATGGAATGTGAACGTACTGAGCAGCGCGTAAGTTTCTTGTGATGGCGTGGGAGTCGTGGCAAGGCAGAGGATAGCCCAGGCTTTGACAAATCTCTGATATCCTGGGACGTTATAGCCTTGGCAGTTTGTAAAAACTCTTCTACAGTCATCTTTTTCAGGTCCAGATTCTGAAACTCAGAACTTGCCTGTTGCAAGCACTGAAAAAACACATCAGTAACATCACTAGAATTATTAAGGACGAAAAAAACATTTGAAAGCGTGAAATTTCTACGCAACCCAAACAGACAAACAACAAACAAACAAAGATAAATTAAACGATTGAATGGTACATTTCATGAAGTCATGCCAAACCTGAATTTGTTTCAACACGGTTAAAAGCAGCCCATCAAAAGCCTTCAGGCGCCTGTCAATAGCATTACGCATTTGCTTATCAGTCATGCGCTTCCCGTCTGTCCATACAACCCCCTTCCAAGCTTAGGAACTTGCCCAATTATACTCTAAATGCTTGCAGGTCTCTCTCCACTCTTACTACAAATCACAGTAAGAGGACCACACAACAAATGTGAAGAACCATAGTCACACAAAGTGTACCTCCACCAGGTAAGTAATCTCCAGGCCCAATCTCTTGCAACTGATGAACAGGAAGATTGGGCTGTTGGTTTGGAACTAAATTATCTAACTTAGAGTTGTCGAACATATCAATGCTGAATGACGATTCGTCACCCTCCTCCGACATGTTACTTAGCACCATCAACTATACTCAACAAAACCAGTAAATTATAAACCACCCGCATTGAGCACACCTTTGAAGAAACAACAAATCACTGAAGCCTACGCATAATCCGAGTATCTAAAAACAGCATAATGATGTGCGCATTGCGGATCAAAGTCGAACTTCAGATAGGATGTATTCACATAGGCTTGCACGAATGAATAGCTGAATAAAAACACAGCTAGCAACCGTTCTCATTAGATACTTCGACTGCCAAGCAATGGTCTATCATATACTGCACTATCGAGAATGGCAAACATACAAGCTAGAGATGTGGCTGACTTGCCTTGGGGCAGAGGATGGCTACACTTTTGACAGCTTGGAGACACATTTTCTCGTCACCTGCTTGAAAGCAGAGCTGCTGCACTGATTGCTTCACATTTGCCCACGTCGCTTGCATCCGTTGTCTCTGAAGGAATCCATACACAGTATTCAGTGCCGTGAACACCCGCTTTAACTCCTCTGCAGCCGGTGGCAAAGGTCCTCCAAGGTCTTCATTTTTCCTCTTCGTCTTCCCTCTTCCAGTAGACTGCTTTGTTTCACCTCCTTCCAAAACCTCCTGTTCTCGCTGGTTGTCGATGTCGGTTCCATCTGCATTTCCACTTAAGATTCGTTTACAAAGGCTCACAAAAACGGCCACTGTAGAGTAAATTTAGTCAAGTCACGACAAAGATTGTGAAGCAGGCAAGATTAATACCGTCTCTCGCATGAGTTGGATCCTTAGGAGGAGAGGTATGGAAGGACGCCAAATCTGCGGCAACTGCTAACCAGGTTTCATCTGAGGCACGAGAATGGATATTCCGAGGTTCGGCTGCTGCGTTAGACAGAGCGTGACCATTCAGCCAATCTCCATGTGAAATCCCAGGTAATGCAGAAGACTCGTCCGACAAACTACGGATTTCACCGTTCTGCAACCCTCCGCAGCATGGAGCTTGGACGCCCGAGCTCAATTGGGTGTTTGAAGATTGAAGACCAGCCTGCGTCTTCTGATTCTTCTTCGTAAAAGTGATGAGCACTATAAATTCTCCGCCGAGGGACAGCGAAGCAACTGTAGCATCCACATTGAGTTTTACACCCTGCCAAGATCGCCAAGAGATTTGTCAATTATGCGAATCAGACGATGAGCTTGCGAGAGTACTTCTTACGACACGACCGCCTACTCAGTCTATCTACCACAATGTTAAGTTCCAACCCAGAGAAACACCATGTAAACCATCCATGGTGAGAATAGGCGATCCCAATCCTTAAACCCTGAACCAAGCACTAAATTTCTGCGGTACTCATCCGAAACATGTGACGAATCGCTGCTTCAGATCAAACGAGCAAGAAGAGAAAGCATACACGATGAAAAAGATGGAATTGAGTGACCCCAGGTGCGGGCCAGCGGAGCTCCTGCAAGCGCAACTTGAGCTCCGCGACGCGGAAGTGCGGGGGCACTATCAGCTGCAATTGCTGGCCATCCAGGGACCGCACTCGCACTTCCAATTGGGGCTGTCTCGCGTCCTCTACCATACCCTCCAGCTTCCACTTCCGTTACTCCACAAATACACACGGCGTCTGCCAACACGCAGCACTCACAGCTGGAAGGGGAGATGCCTCCTCCACAGCTTCAAACCCCCTGAAAGACTCCGAAAAACTCCAAATCCGCTGCGGAGAGTCCGCATTCTCCCGTTCCAACTCCGATTACAGCAGCAGTGGGCACATTACTTCGCATCTGCACCGGAATCCGTGATCGAAAAGAAGTTGGACTGTGTGGAAACGATGAAGTGGGAATCCAGTCTGGCTGCTGAATCCGCAATTCTAGGTTAAATCTTCCGCCGAAGAGTGCGACGTCGACTACACAGGTAGGCATTCCATCATCCTCGCTCGCAGGATCCCACAAATCCAAATCCAGTTTTATGCAATGCAATGCTCTGCAATGTGATGACCTGCGCTCCTTCGGCGTCGTCGGCGTGCGGTGAGCGAGCTCCGCGGAGGCTGCATTGCATCTGAGAAGCTTCTTCTTTATTGTTTCATTCAGAATAATTCAAATACATACATCATAGGTGCATGTTTTTAAGTTCGAAATTTTTATTTTTTATTTTTTATTTTTATATTTTTCACGCTATGTTTTGCTGGATAATTATTCCTAAAAATCAAATAAAATTTTGGTAAGCAATTATGTTTTTCTGGTATGAAATTGATAATCTTTTATTTCTAGTAATTGATTGATTTCTATTCATTTTTTAATTAAAAAAATAACTAATAGGAACCACATATTTAAATGAATTTCTAATATTTAGTATTATTTCTAATAAATTTACTATTTATAATAAATTTAATATAATTTTTTATTTTATTTGAAGGTAATTGGTTTAGTATAAAAGGACAAATCCTTGCAAAAGCTTAAACAATTGTATTAGAAATTTTAAGATTATAAATATTTATTAAGCTTTATTTGCCTCTAGAATTATTATAGCAAAAAGTTATTATATATATGAATATTTTTAAATTTAAGCAATATCTTAAATTTCAAATTTGGTTGGGATTTATTTAGGATTTGCAATATCTTAAATAAATCCTAAATCCTAATTCAAATTCTAATGAAATTCTAAATCCTAAACCAAATTCTATAGCAAATTCAAACCTCAACAACTAAGACATTTATTATAGATTTTGACTCAATTTTTTTTATTCCTCTCAATTATTTTGTTGAAAATAAGCACAAAAAATTTGAAAAAGCTTGACCTTACCAAATAGGATATAAATCTTAGAATTTGCTCAAGTATTGGCCAAATTTCTTCTTCAATCTTGAAGTCATTCACTTAGCACCAAAATCTCTAGACTATAATATTCAATTATTCTCAAATTTTTCACAATTTTTAGAAACCAAGTCTACTATTAATGTCCAAATGTTTATTTCAATTCAATTTGTAAATTGCAACAAATCTTAGAAACCCTCATTGGTCTTTTAAACTCCAATTATCAAGACTCCATTATTTTTGAATTTCAATAAACTTTAAATGAACCATTCAATTAAGTTCAAACTTAAAACACATATTCAATACACATGTAATTATACAATCATAAAATTGCACTTGTAGATCATCTATCAATCTCATTGAATTCTTCAAAGTGTGAACTCTTCATATTTCAAAAAAATCCAAAGTCACCCTAAAACAATCTTATTTTTGCAAAGCCTTTACAAATTCATTATACATTCAAATAAATCAAAATCAATGCCCAAAGACTCTTGCTCTATCTTTCTCTCAAATTCCATTCTTTGACTTGCCAAAAAACCCTAGAAATGCCATAGGAGCATGGTTTTGTGCCTCTAGGTCTAATTTCACCTCTAATTTATAACTAGTCCTATTCAACTATCAATTTCTGGTTTTGTAAGGTAATAGCTACTAAAAAATATTCTTAACTCTCTTCTAAAGATGGGTATATCATTTATTTTTCTAATATATTTTGTTTTGCCTTATTTATGGCTATAGAAAGTAAATAAAAACCTTTTTTTTACAAAAAGATAATATTAACATTAAATGGTTATATTACCTTCCTAATTTTTATCTATATTTTTTTACTATATTTTTTAATTAGGTTCTTTCATTATATAGTTGTGTTATAATATAATATCGTCTTCCTTCTCTAGCTTCAATGTAAACCTTTGAGCAATGATATCTTCTTCTTGAATTATTTACTTGTTTTTAATTATTTTTTTAATGCACAAGAATAATTCAACTATTTGGACATATTTTTTTAAAAAAAATATTTTATTTTAATCTAATTGATACATTGTTCAAAATCATAAAACCTTCACAACCCTTCTAAATACAAATTTTAAGATCCTAACTCATTTGAATCTCAATTACCTTTGATTTGACCATCAAATTAAGATGAATTCTATAACATATATTTAATACAATTATTTTTACAAATTTATAAAATTTGATCTATAGAAATATTACAAAATTCACAATATTTATTGAAATAAAATCTTATTTTTATCCAGCATTAAACATAGTTATATAAAACAACCCGTACTTTATAAAAATTTTACAAAGGCATTATGTACTCAAATCCCTCAAAACAATTCAAAAAAATTCTTTTAAGTGTTCTTTTAAATCTTGTTTATAATTTAGCTAAAAAACCTAAGGTTTGTTGTAGGAAAAGAGTTTTATTCCTAAAGATTATATGACACTAAGTAGAAGCATATAAATACATTCCATGATGTCATTGGTACAAAGGACTACCAAAAGAGATCACTAGCAAAGATGAAGCTATGATCTACTGAGTATAAGGAAATCATAAATGTTAATCTAAACACCAAGATCATATTTGCTAAGATCGATAATAAGATGATGGCTATTAGATACTTGTATGATGATAAAATGATAGTTCTATCAAAGAAAGATATCAAGATTTGTGACCTTAACAGATGAGAGTATAGATTAAATTTAGAATAAAAAAGTATAAAATAAAAATTAAAAAATTAAGTACTTTTTATTACCAAAAGAAATGTTAGTTTTTGTATTTGACCTTGTGTTATAAAATCTCCTTTATTCTTATTGTATAACTTTTATATTTGACTTTCTAAAAAGACGTTCTTGAGTGTAGAATCAAGTATTATTTGTTTTCCATTCTTCTCTAAATTGCTAGATATGTACATTTTAAGTAGCCTTCATACAAATGATAATGACGATTGATTGTCTTTAATTTTGATAGTTGTAATATTTGCACCTTGTCATTTGAGTATGCTCAAAAGCTTGATAAAAGAACTTGTAACATCTCTAGGAGTATCAAATGGATTTACTCTTTCTTATTGTTTCTTCACTACTCTTCCATCAAGAAACTTATCAAGAGGTTTAGTAATAAGATCTTCATAGTTTGCATTGTTGATGTTACTAATGTTATTGCTACTCTTTAGTTACTTGAGAAGACCAATTGCTACAAGCATGTTTTTGTTAACTGTTTGAGATACAATATACTTGATTTTTTCTTTAGAAAGAATCTTCTCTAGAGTGTAAGCAAATACTTTTGATATAACATGGTATAGATAAGATATTTGAATTATTGACACATAGAAATAGATAGTTAGAATCACGTTTGAGGAGTTATTGAAGTTTCTAGAATTGAGATTAGGTTAGTGAACCAAGAAGGATTTATCATGGAACATTCTAGAAAGAGTTTAGAATGGTTATCTAGGTAGGATCCACCATAGAACCTTCTAGAAATGGAATTAGGATAGTTATTTATGTAAGGCCTACCATGAAACCTTCTAGGAGAAATTTATGACAGTTATCTAAATAAGATCTATTATCTAAGAACATTCTAGAAAGTCCAAGATGGTAGAGTAAAGTATAAATAAGACTAACTAAGGCCTTTTGGAGCATCTGGTTAACTATGGCTTTGGATCTTTTCTCTTAATACAATTAGGTCTATATCTTTATGTTTTGTTTTATTTTGTTCTTATTCTGCTTGCTGAGTTTTATTTTCCATATCTCATTTTTTTTTAATTCTATTTAATTTTATTCTAGTCTAATTTCTCCTATCTTGTGATGAAGTTTTATGTTGCTATGGATTAGAAGAGTCTTAGATACTTGAGATAGACTTGTCATGTTTCATTGATATTAGAACAAATGTTAGACTATTCTTTGGTAGTGTATCAGTAATCATCATCTAATCCAAGATTAGTTGTTGTAGTCACTCTTCATACTATATTGAGGCTACTACGAGTTACTTTTAAAAAGTGAATTGGCAAATGAGAAGGCATTACAATAGTAGAGACTAGGGGAGAAATTATAATGTAAAAAATATAGTCAAACAATCCTAGATGGAGCCTCAAATATAATACTTCTTATAAAAAATAGCTACTTTGTAAGGGCAAATAGAAGCCTCTAAGACACAAAGTCGACATCAACTAGGTTGAAATTGAATAAGCTTAATACATATGTGAGAGTAAAAATTCACTCCTCAATTCAATTAAAAGATAGCTTCAATTAAGAATTACTTGTAATGAGTGGTGTGAGGAGGAAGTTAACATAACCAAAATGAAAATGATATTAAAAATGTTACAAATCTAGATAATATGTCATAAAGTACTCTCATATTATTAACCAAGGCAAAAAGGTACTCATCAACCTTTATAACAACCAATAAAATTCTATTATTATCTAAAATATTATTAATCTTATATCTAAGAGGTTATTTTACTTTAAAAAGTGTTATTGTGAACACATAAGCTAATGCCAAATTATTCTAAATCTAACATAGATAATGAGCATAAGAATCTAAAGCTGTATCTTTAAAGATTAAAAGATCAAGGAATTGATGAATATATTAATCAAACTCCAATATTTATATTTGAGTGTTACTTAATAGAGGTACATTTTTAAAAATATACCTAGATAGTGGAGTTTGATGCATAAACTACAATTGTGAACACTTCATCAAATCCATAAATAAATTGGATCAAGATTCATGCAACTTTCAATTTATTCAAGTACATGAGTGACCTTGATAAGGCCATTCAACAATCAATAAATTAATATTTCCTAATTTCTTCAAATAATCATCACTAATAATTATAACATCTTAAAAGAATTCATTAAAATAATTAAGAATAGAAAATAGTTATAATTACTTATCATACAAAGCCAATAATCTTTGGAGATGATGTTGAGTTGCTTTCTTAATTGTAATCCAAATATCTAAATAAATTTACTATCTAACAGTACCTCTAGTTTCCTTTACTATTGCAAAATATATACCAATGCCTCCAAAGAGCTTTACATAGATAATACTTATATCTTATTGATGCCGATGAATAGATCAAACAAAGATAGATAACAAAGAATAATTTTTCATCTTTAATACATATAATAAAGATACAATCTATTAGCATTGGCAAAAAAATGTTGCATGTATTTTTGTCATGAACATACTCATATAAGCTAG